AGTACATTAGTGTACTGAGGGTCCCAAGGAGACACAAGTTGGGAAATATTGGTTTAATCTGTATCCATTTGTCTTCAATTTGACATTCCACTTCTACAGGAACAGCCTAATTTGCTGAAAAAGGAACAGGACAACTTCATAAAGTTTATAAAATTATACAAATTTGGACTAATGATGTTTTTTCAGTAATGTTTTGTATCCATTTTTACAATCATATGTCCATGTTATTCTCCCAAAAAGAATGAATACTTTGAGAAACACTGTACAAGCCTCCACAAGACTGCTTTTATTGTGCATACCTTGTTGTTTGGACAGCAGTTCTTGCGGTATCTCAGCGTTAATCCTACTCGGAAAGTTCAGGGTGGAATCTGTTTGTGTTGCATGTGGATCTTGTTCAGAGAGGGTGGGCCTCTGTATCTGTCTGATTTATAGGTTTGACGGCAAAGTATCTCACACAACTCTCTGCCTGTCATTACTCCGAGGAAGACGAACTGCATGGCCTCTCCGCGGGGGGACGGAGGCTGCTCGGACACTGGGATGGATGGGGCTGATTTATAGTTGATTGCCTATATCCAACGAGCGCACCTCTGGGACTGTTGGGTCTTGAGTCTGATCACCAGGGTGATGTGTGGTGCTGAGACAAACATACGCATGAAGCCATTAGCGCACACGTAGATTAGAGGCTTAGTGGTGTAGTGCTGCTGCGGAGTTTACATTTGAGATAAGTGCGGTTTCCATGGGGGCAGCTCACTTAGCAGAGACAAAACTCTACAATGTTTGTTGAGGGCAGAGCCACACAACGCAGGACAGATTTGTAGAGCATTCATTGAGCAATATCCCATGTTGATTTCTTTTTTTTTTTCTATTAAAAATGACACATGAAGCTTACAATTTTCATGACACTCAAAGACACTTCTGGAATTAAATTACTCCGTACAGGGTAGTGGTAAACTACTGCTGTAGCGATCTGCCCAACTGATCACCACACTAACGCACACACCAAACTCATACTGGGCAATGTGGGTGAAGTGTATTCCCTAAGCACACAACAACAGTTTGGCACCATGCAGCTGCAGCCATCCCACTGTAAAATCTGGTTTACCCATCACAGTACTAACCAAGCCCTTAACTTTTAAGATCTGACGAAATCAGGCTTTCACATGCAGGTGGCAACACAAAAGCCAACTGATAGGCGTCTGATGTTATTTTTCCCCATGACCAACCACACTGCAAAACATTAAATCAAGAATTTGTCTTATTCCAAATACATTTTGATCGTCTTAAAACAAAATTTTCCAAAGGGACACGCAAAAATGTCTTCATGGGCAGTAGCATTATTTCTATATTCATTCCAAATTATATTTTGTTTAGATTTGATTCATTAGCAATTCTTGTTTTAAGAGTGACAAAATGTACTTAAATCAAGGCAACCATTTTGACTCGCCATTTTATACAGTGCATTTGCTGGATACTCAATCATCTTTTAGACATCAATGTATATAGTATAAAAAAAAAACTTGGAATAAGATTTTTACAAATAACCCCACAGCAAACAAGTTTGAAGACGGACCCACGAGACTCTGGATATTTGTACAAGTTATCTGTCTGAAACCTGAAGCAGTCGGTGCCCCACATTTAAAAGGAAGCACATCATTTCTTTGGACCTAGGCCCAGGTTTGAGTCACGGAGCTTGTTTGTAAAGCAGAGGAGAAAAAGGTAACATAACACTAAAAATATGTCTTATCTACTCATCACCATGGATGAAAGGACTCTGGACTTTTGTTGGCGGCTTGCAAGAAACAATAAAAATGGTTTTGGTACCAAGATACAATTGTGAAATCTTTTGTTGAGCACATGCACTGTTTGTCCTGTACTTGCCTTTAGCAGATGTGGAAATGCAACAATACAATAGCATTAGAAAATCATTGTGTGTGAGAAACAATAAAATGTACAATGCCACTGTTTCAGCAAACAGGTTCCAATGTGTGAATGAATTTCTTTATAAATCAACCATCAAAAGTTGAATGTCAATTTGAGAAACTTTGATTTGAGGAGAAGCCTTTCCCTCGAAATATGTCTGCATGTTAGCAAAATGTGTCTGTGTTTGATGTGCTTGATCAAACACATCTATATTCACTGACAGGTCGAGCATCAAGCGCCTCACAGAAAAGGACAGCTCTGTCACACACCACACAAGCCTGTCTTCTTCACCAATCTTCATTCAACATTCAACACTCCTCCCTTGTTGAAATGATGGTATTATATTAAAATCATAAAATATTACTGTTATAGTTGGCGGTTAAACTTTGGTCATGTTTGTATTAAAAGAGTACAAGCCTTGATCAACCACAGTCTTGCTTAAATATTTGACCAATGTCACAACTGTTACTGAAATATTCACTCTGATGCACCTGCCTCTTGTCCATCTCCATTCACTAGATTTAGTACCTCTGAGTCAAGGAGCAGACATTTTGTTTTTGTGTGGCTGGCGTCTTGACCCCCCTCTTGGCCCATGTCCTGGGCCCTTGGTGGAGACACCGTGTTATTTACTGCTCACAGAGCTCTGTGTGCGGAGAGTCAACACAGCACGGCTGGCTGAGCAAGGGAGCAACCTGCTGCACATTTGCAGTCACATGACCATCCCAAGGGGCCGACAGAGATGTTTACTGCAGTCCAATCACAAGTTATGATACAAGTGTATCCAAGAACAGACTGCCAGGACACGTCAGCAAAATGGAAAGGTGTGGATGGAAAGGTGAAGTTATGATTTTTTTAGCGTGACAGAAAAAAAAAACATCTATTCTGGCTGGACGTTTGACCTGACAGGATGTGACAGTTCTCGCTCAGGTAAATTTTACGGACAGCTGGACACACATGGACCCGCATCTGAGAGGTACAGGGAGCTTTATATGGACCTGCTCCATTGAAGTGATTCAGCCTGTGATGTGCACACTGGGCTTCACGCTATGGAACTGTGCATTGCTCATTGACCCATGACAGACATTTTCAGAAAAATCAACCCCTAAAAGGCTTCACTCAAGACAAAAACAAGGGCAAGACCAGTCAGCAACAAAGCGGCCCCTGAAGGACAAGTCTGTAGAGGTAAAGAAATATGTGCAGCTTAACAGGGCAAAAATGTGAACAGGTTTCTGTTAAAAGCCACATCTCAAAGTAGAGCGCAGTGAAATTCCTCCTCTAAATCCCCTGCTTCCTTCAGGTAATTATAGGCTCTTGGAAGACAAACTACAGGTCTACAGTGTTTGTCTTTGGATGTGTGGGTACAACAGGTGACTTTCTTAAAAGGCCGGGCTCAGAGCCAGTCCACTACTGCTGCAGCTGAACATAATTCTGTAATAATTCTTCACGGACAATTAATTATCCAACCTTAACCATTCTGACAGATAATAGAAAAATGTTTAATCAGGACAAATGTATGAAAGGAATGTACTATAATCTGAAGAAACTTTGGAATGGCACACAAAAAATCCACTTTATCAAATATAATGTTCTGCCATGCTTACTCCTGTGGGGAAATAAGTAGTTTTTCCTCGGTAAAAACTTAGTGTGAAATGATTTATAGAAAATAAGATTTGATAAATTGAAAAGTGGGCTGAATTTGGATTGGAAATGGGCTGCTGGAGGGAAAATGTGGAAGCTGCTTTTTAGAAGGATGTGAATGTGTCGCGGTGAGGAGCGGATCAATCTTTTATCACTGACGGCGGGCGTTTATTTCTAATGGATCCGATCGCAACGCTGGAAATTCTCAGAACAGAGGGAGGGTACAGGGAGCACACTAACTTCACCTCTAAAAAGGCAAACATTTAAAAACAGAGCCTTTTCCAATTACCTGTAGGACAGAGCATCTGCCGGGGTCTGTGAAAGCTCCAGATAAGTGTTAAAGGAAATTAAGTCACAGCAAGAAAACAAACTTTTCCAGCCATCAAACCCCACTAGCGTCATCTCTATCTCTGGAATTAGTGACACAAGAATAGTATTTTGGTAACAAAAAATAACACTCAATAGATAATGCGCCTTTTTATCTCCTTTTGCCTATAGTGAAGGGGACAAGCATGACAAAACATTTCAGTTTCAACCACTGTAACCAAACAAAATCACACCAACTATGTCAAAATAGTAGCAAATGTGTCCTTCCAGACTCATCCAAACCTACCTGGGACAAAACACAAAATTGGTTAGGCTATTTACTGAAGCGCTAGAATAAATCAGTGTCGAGTTCAAGAACCGATAAGTTTAAAGTACAAGTTGTAGTTCATTCCCCCAATAGCGGTCTGCTATCTCCCAAGTTCCTGACAAGCTGCACCTAAACATAAGATAGCATAAGATATACAACTGCTCAACTCCCACAGTGGGCAGTGTGGGGAAAATAATCACCCCTCGGGCTGGAAGAGGTGTGGGGGAGTGGGGGGCTACTAATCAATGCCTCTGATTGGACGTCCCGCTAATGAGCTCAAGAGTTTCCCCCCTATCTCTCTGACAGATAGCATGCTGAGAAAACCTTAAGTAAGATGCTAGCCCATGCATAGTGATGAGTCAAATGGGCTTAAGAGCACTGTGGAGCATTAGACATGCACGGCACCCGGCAAAGGAGAAATGTAGAGTGGCTAAATAGGGATAGAACATGCGCAAAATGAGAGCAAACTTTGGTCATTAATTAATCTTTAATCCTTCACCGGGTAAAGGGAGACACTGGTGTCACGCCTGGGGTAAGAGATAGCCAGCACTGTTCTACTTAGTTTTGTTGTGGGTAATGTTAGTAAACTCAAAAAGGCCAGCAAAGACCAAATACAATGACATTTTGAAACTTTAAACTAGTTGAAACACCAAGCAGCAGCTCTATTGTCAACAAGTACAAAGTTGCTAAATTTGCTTTGACAGATAAGAAGTTGTACAGCCAAACACACAAGAAGGAACATGTTTTTAAAAAAAAAGTCTACAATTGAAGCACAAGCATTAAAAAAGTATAACAAGTTTAGCCTTACCAGAGAGCTCGCCCTCCTTGTCTCTTGTTTCTATACTCTCAGCTCTGTTGTCTCCCTCGCAGGCTGGCTGAAACCTTCACTTGTGACGAAGCTGCCGAGCCGGTTGTGCCGCTCCACGTACGTGTAGAGTGTGTGTGCCTCCAGGAGCGTGCCAGTGCAGCAGAGGTCAGAGGCGGTCGGGCAGCTGTAGGAGAACACAGGGGAGAGCGGTGAAGGATGTGGGGGTGCTCCGTGTCGTGATCGGTCTAACACACACACACAGGCTTCTGGCGGCGGCGCTGACTGCCTCAGGAATGCACTTGTGTCTTCACCAGCAGATCTGAGAGACAGAAGAGCTCCCTCCCTCTGCTCCTCGCCGTCTACAGCCCTCCTCCTCCTCTTCCCTCCTCCCCCCTCCCCCGGCAAAAAGAAACACAGCCTCTCCCACTCTCTCCACCCATTCCCTGCGTACTGACAGATCTGATACCGTCTGCATTCAGGCTTGAAGTATTACTTTTCTCTCTGGTTATTGGTGCTATAAGTATCAGTATTGCATAATGTGTAAAAGTGATTGTAATAGAAAAAAAAAACAACTCAATGATATTAAATACAAAAAGGGAAGATTAAAAGTTGCTAAATATTTGGTGCTCAATTTACTTTCCCAACTTAGCAGCCAATTCACTCTTTTTGAAAAATATGTATGTGTTTGCCCTTGTGCTATCCTGAGGCTATGAGCTTCCCATGTGCCTGTGGACAGCAGTCACAAACAGCTGATTACACAAGCCGGGCTGTCAGGTGACTGTTCCTCTTCCTGAGATGAGGTCATTGTGCAAATAACCAGGTGTATGTATATGACAGGACTACGCCTCACCCACTGACACAGGAACAAACCTGATCACTTACAAATGGATGAATAATTACCCACGAAACAAGGTCACAATCCTGAACTCTCCTGTGGCCCCTCCCGTTCAAACACAGCCAAGGCATGCATGACCAATGGGGTAGGCACAATGTGTGGGAATCCCTCTTTTAAACACAGGCTGTCGCTGTACATAACCTAAAGTCCAAACTAAAATCAGAGCCTCTTTGACCCTCCCCCAAAACTGTGAGACAACAAACCACCAGTACCACACCCAAAGAACACCCTTATTTTAGGCAAGTGCAAAAAGGGAGGATTGTAAATTCTTATTTACAAAAATGTTTTGTCTTTTAGTTAATTAAACTATGTGTTGAACACATGAAGGGGGCAGAAAATAAAGCTCTGTGCATATTTTTTGCTTTCGTGTTTGAGTATAATTGCAAGTGTGCATTGTGTACACTCAGTAATTTGGTGAGTCCAAAACCTCCTGTGGGCAAATGCAATTCAGAACAGATTTCTTGGATTAATACTCTTAATTTGATCAATTAAATCAAGCAAACACAACTAATAAATGATGTGGCCATGTGCCAGGCTGAGTCACAAAAGCCTTTGGTGAGTCACTATCTCTCCACAATGTTCATATAGCAAAGCTTTTGGCACATCCTAGAGATGACAAATCTGACAAATCACTGAGGCCACACAAGAATAAAGATGGACGCAGGGCAGACCCTCAGGAGGCAGCTCTCAAGGACCTGGGGCCAAAGAGAGCTGAGCGTTTAAAGTGCAGTGAAGGAGTTTGAACAGACTTATGCGGATCATGCGGTCTCCAATAACTTTCTTTCACGCTTTTTTGTGTGGTCCAAGATGAGACTGGGGGCTAACGGGCATTAAGATGTGCTTTTAGCCATAAAGACACAGAAGAGCATGAATCAGACTGAATCTATTGTTGTGTTTAGTTGCGGATTATCAATGGAGCACTTCTCAGACACCTTCCAGGCATTCCTCAGGGCACCTCCCACAACTCTGTGCCTGCCACGGCCCACCCTCCCCTGTCAGAGCCCACATATCATCCTCCTCTGCGGGGTGACTCAAGCATTCTTCAACCCCTCCTTCACTCTCCTCGCACCCTCCTCTGCATTGACACAAGACAAAAGAATATGAAAAAAGCTCAACTAAAAAAATACTTTCTTAAACTGTAACTTAATGATGAATGAAGGAATAATAAATGAAAAAAAATATGCCTCAATAATATCAAATTAACACCCCCCTTGTAATTATAAAGAAATGTTATGCCAATTTGAAGAACAATGGCAATTAAAAATGGATATTGCCGCTCTCAACTTTGAACAGGTGAAATAAAGTAAACTCAAGGCAAACACACTGGTCTGGCTTGGATTCAATAGGTGGAAAAGCGCAGAAAGAGTGGATGACATGCTGATGTTACTTTGTTTCCCGGATGCATTAAAAATGAATAGCATTAAGTTGCTGGAGAGACTCATGCTTCCTGTATTCCCTCCTGTTTATTTATTCAGCTTTATACTAAAAATATACATAGACTTCAACAACAGGTGGACGGGTTGTCAGTCATGATTTAAGACACAATGAGAGACAAACCGGAGCTCTATTTTCAGACTGACAAACAAGATTCAATTCCTCAACTTCGAGTGATGCCTCTTACATGTAGTCATCTCTGAAACAAAGTTTAGTAATAGGTCCGTTTGGGACCAGCAGCCGAAGTATAGGCTGTCAATTTCACTATATTCACTGCTCCTGTTGTGAACTGGTGCCTTGTATGTCATTATGACAGGCAACATGGCTTATGGGAGGAAAGGTAATTGCACTGTTGAGACATAAATATAGCACATCCCTCACCAAGACACTGGGACTTTTGTTTTCTTCCCAGAAATTTGGCTCTTGGGATGATTCATGTTTTGGAAGCAAATACATGGTACTATATCATCAAGGTTACAAACAACAACAATGAAAATGAAAAAGATGAAAAAAAAAAAAATATCACTGTGGAGGTGATTGAGAGGACAAGGAAAGACACAGACGCTTTGAGTAAGATTGTACAGCATCAGAAAGACTGCATTTGATGAGCTTTTAGCGACTTCCAAGTTGTCAGGCTTTTGGCCACAGTCTGACACACTTAATCCATCTTCTCCTTATCACCACACTTTTCACAACAGTCCAGACACCTCAAGCCTTTTATCACCACTCAAAATAGTTCAGCATCAGACACATTAAAGAAGTTAAATGTGTTTGTCTTCTATATAGTTTTAATCTACCTGAGGTTAACGGGTTTGTATTTTTAAAGGTTAAAGTCACAAAAATCATCTGAAACTACTAACTAATGCAACACCTCCAGAACTCTGACTTGTCACTTTTGTCACCATAAAATAACACAACTAAAGTGCCCTGCTGGTAGACCAACTATCCGCATAATATTGAATCTTTTCCCCTGATAAAAAAGACAACTTCTATTTAAGTTGATGCACAGCCTTTGTGATGAGGTGCTAATGAACATCATTCGAACAGGTTGACGTTACCAGGAGAAAGTTACTGAGTCTCAGCATTTCACAGCCTTGTGAAGGACAAAGCAGATTAAATCCAACCCAAGCCAGGGCTAATGTGAAAATGAATATGAAGGTGGGAACTGAAAGAAGAACTGAAAGTTATCTAAATTACCAATGCTTCAGTTTATTGATTTAATTTTTTTTTTACAAAATATTCAAATACATTGTGCCCTTTTTAAAAAATCAGAGGATGAATCAGATTGTGTTTAGTTTAGGCTTATCAATAGGACGCTTTTCAGATACCCTCCAGGCCTTATTAGGGGAGCCTCCCACAACTGTGAAAAACTCAGTGCTTCAATGAAGGAGTTGATTTGAATGTACTTTTACTGGAGCAAGCGCATCCAGCCTTGTTCCACATGCAGTCGCATTTATCACCTAGATCTTAGGTAATAAAATTTGACACTCAAAACCTATTACATTTTTTAAGTTAAAAAAATAAAAAATAAAAAAATAATCACAATTCCAGGTTTAAGAATCATTCAGTCCCAGATCAGACAAGACCCATTGTGAAAGATCCCTTTAAACAACAGAAAGAGAATGGACAGGATATGTGGGATGTTGCAAGTGAACCATCAAGTAGTGACAGGTCAAAGAGGAGCAAAAGCGTTGCCCTGTGTGGTGCAAGAAGGAAGCCAATCATCACTGGTTTGCTCCATTACCAAGAAGACACAATTTCAGACCAACGGTAACTGCATTTTGAACCCGAACAATCATTGTGCAGGTGATGACCACGCTAGTCTCCTTCAGGCTTAAAAGCATTACATAACATAAGGAGTGTTTTCTTGTTTCTCACATTGAAGCTAGACTCAGGGGACCAGCATACCTGGCATTAGTATGCGTCTCCACACGTGTCTGAAGTGGATACTTGTGTTCACATCCCATCTATATGCAAACACATTTTCTTGTAAAATGTGCAAATGGCTCTTTTAACGTTATATGTCGTTATGAACAACAGAAATAAAAGGCAAACGCAACTTGTGGCACTGGACCTATAAAACGCTTCCAATCCTTTCTAAAATACTGAAAAACATTATAATTCAGCGAGTTGAGTCAGGTAGGGCTGTAATTAACTATTATTTTGATGATCCATTAGTTGGCAGGTGAACACATTTTATTTCTTTCTGCGGTCATAATAGAAAGATCAAAGTCGTAAAACCTCTTCTCAGCATGTTTAAGTGTATGTAAGGTTCGAAAAGTGATTACCGGCATTCTCAACCATTACTAAATTAGTTCAAGAGTTATTTAATATAATCTATTACCTTGTTACAGCCCTAGACTCAGGAATAATATAAAATCCTTAAAATGTATCTTGTAAATAATCTTGCGTTTGTAAAAAAAAAAAAGAGAAAAAAAGTAAAGATTATTTTTGTTGATATATATAAATAAGCTTGTTTTCAAACATAATAATGAACAAAACATGGAGAGCATCGCACTCTTCGTCCAGTATGTTCAGTTTGACATTCAAGCATAGTCAAGTCCTTTTATTAAAGCTCCCTTTGAAAAGTTAAAGGGCCAAGCTAGTTTTATCCAAGGCATCCAAACCTCTTCAGGCTGTGTTATTTTATCTGACAGGATAATAACACTATTTTTCTCAATTTCCAAGCCAAACAATGCACAAAATGATAGCGCGGCTTTCCCCAACGAAACAGCTTGTGTGAAAGCGCAGCCACCAAACACCTGTTGCGACAACAACAGTACTTAAAAGCTTTCACTGTACCAAACCAGTCATTTGGTGCCCTTTGTGGCTTCAATGGATCAAAGAGAAGTGTAGTCCAGGTACAAATCGATGCAAGCAACAGTCATGCCCTGTAAGCACAAACAAATACGTATGCACGCATGCGTACGACGAACAATGATCAGACAAGAGCATAATAGTCGAGAACCCAACCTCCATAACAAGCCATTTTTTATCCTTCAATATATGCTAAACACATTCAACCACGCACTCTTTAAGACTTGTTGAATTTTAACAAGCCGGCTTAGACAGGGCTCTCCGTTCTTATCAGGCGGGAGACAGTTGGAGAGGGCGCTGGAGTGGGCGCAAGCAGGAGCCTCAATTAAGGGCAGATGTGTGTGCCGAGGAATATGCCACGTTACTAATCAGTGCTTAGAGACAAAGGCCATATGTGTGCCAGTCTGCTCCCCTCTCCGAAGCTCGCCCCCACCTCTACGACAGTGTGACCCCCTCAGCAAGAATGTCAGGATTGTCATGTCAGCAGCGATGACATCATGGCCAGTCCATCACCGGGGACGACAGGGGATCGGGACGGCTTTCCTCCCGTTACATCAGCCTTTGTAATAATAACAAGAGCGGGTGTCAGCCCTGTTCACAGAATCAACAGTTGGAAAGCGCACAAAGCATGGAGTTCATGGACTTATGGATATAATATTATGATTATGACCAAGACCTCTCTGTTAGGTCTAATTGCTTTAGTATATTTGAATGCAGCCAATTCAAGTGGTTGACAGAATTGGTTAAATATTTAAAATGATGTATTTCAAAACCGCAGATGAAGTTAAAAGATTCTGTGGATCGGCACTATTGGCCTAAGTGGAATTAAACTAAATATGAAAACACGAACATGCCAAAAAACTAATTCTTCCACATTAAATTTGTGAGACATCAATCAGCAACAAGTGGTTATTCTTGCTCCTAAACTGACTCTTCAATCACCTTTCACAATGTTTCTATTTCATACAAAACCACAAATTGAGTAGCCAAGATAAGAATGCATGCTCACTTAGTCAAGTGAAATGATAATTCTTGCTATAAAACTACTAATTATAGGCAAACATTCAAATATATGCAAACTACGCAAACGTGTTAGATTATTATGATATGAAAAGCTTAGAGCTTACGTGTTACATAAGTATCAGAAGTTAGGGCCATAGAAATGAACCATGTAAAACAAAATATGATTGTCATTCATTCATATCTTGAATGGAGAAACTTCCACAAAAGGTTGCATAAAACAGGAAGCAGCACAAGCTAGCAGTACTAGTGAATAACAATAACTTCGTTTGAACAACAATAAAAGTAATTAGGTTATATTTCTCTGGAACTAACTGCATTCATATTTTAAGACAGACCAAACCATAGGTGGTCTATGGTCAAGAGCCTGACAAGACTCCTTTTTTTTATTGTATGAAGGAAGCCTAGAGTAAACACAGCAACTTCATAAACAACATTAAAAAAAAAAATTACATGGTTCTAAAGTCAGCTTCTATAGCTGCAGACAAGCAGCTCTTTCATTATTGCTCAATATGCATAGGTCAATTTTCAGCGAACAGATGCAAGTGTGTGCGTTTGAACACAACCAGGGGATCCTCCAGGTCATCAGATAAAGTGCACCCGAGTATGGGATTGGGAGTGTTTTAGGCTGTTACTGTGGAAACCAAACAGCCAGAAGAAGACCACCTGGTTAATGGTGCCCCGGACGGCAGTGATGAGAGGGCTGCACTTGGGCAGGTAGCAAAACAGACAGCTCTCAGAGCAGAACTATAGCCTTATTGTAACTGGTCTGGTAATAAGAGAGGACTCTATGCTGCAGATGTCCAGTCTATCATACAATGCCAAATTGTCTAGTCGCCAAATAGCAAGAAGGTCCTGGATTCACCTGCCTGCTTAGAGTCTGTATGGTTTGGTTTCCCAGAATCTGTGTGGAAACTAACAAAGACAGGACTTTACAGCGACAAGCATTGGTGTTACTGAGGATTTCAAAACTTTTTCCACAAAAGTTACCAAATACAATAATGAACTAAAGCAAACTAAAGTAATTGTGAAACGATACAATGCAGTTCTCATATTTATAGTTTGTGATGCAACAACTGGTCACATAAAGCATCTTGGAAGATACTCAGTTTTCTTTGATGTTTCAATAGTATTGCATTATGCTAGTTATTTAACCAGGTCAAATGTTTTAGATCTAATTCTCAAAAAGGTGACCCGGGCATGACCGGGCCATGTCAACTGAAGCCAAGTTATCAATTTACATTTCAGTGTTTTTTGTGTACAAAATATATGTTTTTTGCACTATAATTACATAGTCTGACCTCTAATTCAGATTGTATGTTATTAAAGTGCAAAATATCCTGGGATATTCACATTTAAAACAAAACAAAATATACAGCAAAATTGGTTTAAAATTACCAGTATTAAATTGAATTAAATGTTGAAAAAGATATACCGGTATATATATTTTGACATGCAAGATAAATACTTGTTAGAATGAGACCGCTTAACTTTGTTGAAATATTTTGACAGTTTTACAAAAGGAATCTTGAGAGCACAAACGGCTGCATAGATAGTAGCTTTATACAACAATGGAGTTGAAGCATGTGTCTGAGGACAGAAACACATGTGTAGAGCAAAAACACCAAAATCCATTAACTTCTACTCACCTCTGAAGACATGTGCAGCTGGTGAAAACAAGAGGTGAAAAAACAGCCTGTCAGAGTTTGTTGTCAGCCGCGGGCTACCTGATCCAGCTTGGCCTGTGGAGTAGAGGGGGCAACTCTGAGCCACGGTGCTATGCGGAGGGATAGGAGGAGGGCGGAAAGAGGGGCGGGTGCTGAGAAAAAGAGTGAAGTGGTGCCGCCATTCTCCATCGCCCCGGCAACCAACGCGCATTCAGAGAACTCGGCCAATGGCAAACACCAGCAATTGTGTTGGGACAAAGAGTCACATGAGCAGCCCGCACACTACTCCCTGCGATGGAAGTGAGGGGAGGTTTAAAGGCGGGAGGGAGGAGTCTAAACAAAACTATTATACGGAAAGGGGGTAGAACAATTTTGCAAAAAAGTTACAGAATATCGCTGTGTTCGCCAGCATGGAATTTTAGGAATGCGTTTTATGATTTCTCAATGACATGGCTACATTACATGAAATGTGCTGTTTAGTATGTAAGTCGAGCAGATTTTGGTTATTAAAAAGGTTTTTATACATTTGAACAAAACAAATATTCATTGAGATGACTTGTTACACAATGGGTTGTTGGATTAAAAATACTTGCAAAATATTTTCATTTCTTTATAGAATTATCTTGGTCACTACCTTTTATCCGCATGTCAAAGTCTATGTATGGTTTAAAAAAAAAACAATTGCGGTAATGTACGACTATTACATTTACATTTAATTTGAAACACCTAATTTCACGCAATTCATAAGCCATAGTTATGAAGTCCGCCACAACATCGAGGAAGCATTGTTAAAAAAGTATGAGCTTTACCTGAAAATAATTGTGATAAAGACATTCTAATTGTGGAACTGTTTCAGAAGTGAGAGTAGAAATAGGTCAGAAGTATTGTTTACATGAACAAAATAACATGTGACTTCCTTGCTGGAGTTCCCCTGAACAGGTAGTAAGTGTTTGTGTTTAGGAACCAAACAACTTCACAAGAAATGTACTTAACAAAACAATTAATCCACCCCACCGACCACCAGCACCAATCAATCACACACACAGCGAGTTCTTGGCAATGTGGGTGAGCTGTGAGACCACTGTGGCACCTGGTGTTCCCAGAGGTCTCCCATCACAGTACTAACCCGGTCCTGCTTAAGATGAGTAATGATGAGCAAAACAAATTATTCTTAAATCAGTGAGGGAAAATAGCCTTGAAGTAACAATGTAACCGTAACATTAATGAAGAGTTGAATACTGATGATACAGAGTTGAACTATGGCCTAAGAAGACGCTGTAGAACATGCACCAACATGGACATCATCAACGTCTAAAGTCTGTGTCAATGATTTATTTAAAAAAGCCTACAAATGAATACCTGAGGACTCCTGTATCGGCTTGTCAACGGACACATGCTGAAGTCTCCAGGCAAAGTCTTTGGTATTCTTCTTATCAATTAAGATCCCCACCTGCGCAATCACATGATGCATTTAATTATTTTTCATAAAAGAAGATTTATATGATCAGATCAGATCAGACATGTTTTCGTTGCAGGTTTTTGCAAGACCATTGTCACTGGCCAGGGTCAGACCAGAGAATATTATTTATCTTACTGGCATGGCAGTCTGACTTCAAGGAAATTTACAGGAGCCACTGAAGGCTATACACACGTACAGGGATCATACAGGGATCGTACTCACCCTCGGCATGGACTCTTTACTGCACTTCTGGCAAATGATGTAGACTGTTTGAGACACGGACCACAAGTTTTGAAAACATTTTCTATCCACACATACTGTCTCCATATGTTCTGTAACAAAACAGCTGGTTGGTTCATAACTTTATGGAAGTGTAATTAAGGCAATCTTGTGGGGTTATTTGCATTATGAGAAAGATCTTTTTGATTTCTCAATCATAGGTCCTACTATCAAACGCCGAGTATGATTCTGCTTACATTATGACTTCATCCACTCACAGAAGGATCATTTAAACTCTACACAGAGACTCCTCCAGAGTCAACTACCACTCACTAGCATAACTATTGCAGAGTAACACTGTATTGTACTGTATACAACTCATGGATCTATGATACAACTGTAACACCCTGTACTTTACAAGTTCGAAGCGTGAATTGTATCAAAAGCTTCACAATAAAACAGAACTTCAGCCACTGACTGCACATAATAAGGAGCAGGTGCACCTCTGCTCTCTTCACTTGTTGCTCCACTTTAGCGGTGAATAACTTACCCATAAGTTAGATACTAAAGAACAACTTTGTTTGCATAACTTACATGTGTCATATCAGCGGAACTAGTCGGAAGGTTGAAGCTCCATCATCGAGTGTTCAAGTGTCTCCACTTCCACACTCCACGGAGCTGAACTTCCGCATTCCTCTTCCAAAATAAAAACATAGTAAACCAATACAGTCTATGAGTAAACCTCACAAAGAATTTATAAATTACTCTCCATACTTGTATTTCTGCTTGGTGAGGATGAAATTACATTATTAGGGGAAGGTCAGTATCAAACATTATTCTGGATTACTTTTACACTAAGTAGTGTAACGCATTACGTGTGTAACGGAAACATTACTTTACAATAATTACATTACGGTGGTTCTATCATAATACTTACAATAGTTTCTTGCCAAATGATCTCACATAGTTTAAATAAGCAAACACAATTTCAACATAGAAAAATGTAAAAAAAAAAATATATATATAAACCTCAGACAGTGCTGTTGTGGTTAGATGTAAACAGATGTTTTTTTTCTTGTTTTGTTCTTTTCTTGTATATTTCAATTTAACTTTATTCAAAGAGGCTATAACCTATAGAAATTAAAAATGTCTTTGTCCAAAAGTAACCTGACCAAGTGGCAGAAGTGCATAAGGATCAAAATCAGATGATATAGATCAGTGAAATAAGTCAGAACAATTATGTACTCTTTGTTTTTTCCTCCAAGTATGTTGAATGCACCACCGCTGAATCTGTTTCCACTCTTTGGGTGAACTTTCATAAAACACAAAAGCCTAAATTTTCTATAGTATTACATGAATTAACCCCAAAGTAATGGAACTCCATTTCTTTTTTTCAGTCCATAACTAATGTGTAAGATCGCGTTTGTAAAAAGAAAGGAATGTGTAACATATAACTAATTACTTTTCAGAGTAATTTACTCAATACAATATGCAGCACAAAACGTATTAAGATGCTCCCTTTGATTACAGCTTCAGCTTCAACTACAGCAAATCCATAAACATTTTTGGTGAGTGACATGACCCACTTATATAAATGCCTCATTGTTGCTGTCTTCTATTTTCTTCCAACCTTGAACACACTCTGCTTGCAAACTAAAGATTTCGATTTGCACAACAGGTAAATCCCAGAGCCTCAGTAAGATATATGTGTGACCTTGAAAAAAAAAATCATGAATTACAATGAAAAACCACATTAATCTAGCATGAGATGTGATGACACCAGACTGGTATGATAAATAAGTTTAGATCGATACCAAATATGGGGAGCATGGACACCCAGGGAAAAACTGGTAGAAGAAAAACAAAGAAACAACAACACAAATAATGTTGTTTAATTTCTTGTTTATTAAGTGAACTGTAAGCTTTGAAAGAAAAAAAAAAAACTAAAACTAAAACAAGTGTGTATTCAAAGTTAATGGACAAATATTATACATGTTTATTGTTCAGTTGAAGTCCAGTATTTTACAACAGCAATAATTATTTCATATTTTGTGTAATTCGAGAGATAGCTAAAAATGTAATCAAAACCTACTTCAGACTGGATGGGATGGCACACTGTACATTAATCCTAGTAATGGGTGGTATTAAATGTCACGTCTGCCTGCATTTAACTTGTCATTTATCACAAGTCGGATGAGACTCTAGAATTACAGCAATAAACGTCATAACGATTTCTTTTATTTTATTTTTTTGCTATTATGGACTACATGTCTGCAATGGGACTGTTAAAGTGTCAACCCCAGTGTGAATTATGCAGCCCAAACAGTTCTAAATGGAATGTTCCTCCCTGCAGGATCTTTCATTCAGTGCATAAACACAACCCGGGCCTGCCTCAACCCATGGTGCAAGTATCCCCAAGTACAACAATGATTAGTACAACAACTCAAGTCAAAACAAGCTGAAAGTTTCCCTCTGAAAATACGATAAAAAATGCATTAATAAAAGAGTTGCTTGTGCACATGTAGAAAGGAAATGCCTACACACGTTCTTCACACCTTCCTGTAAAATTATAGCCTTCATGCTCAGAACCATTGTAATATAATAGCAAACGGAACGGTAAATCTCTGAACATTTGAGGTCGGGCTAATAAAAGCAAAATAATGTGGTTACACCTTCTATGTCCATTTATTAGTTCACAGGCAAGTTGGGTGAAGAGTCTTGTCTAAAGCTGGGGTAAATAACATTCAAATCACAACCTTTTTAATTATGTAATCAAGACCATGTAGCTAGTTTCTCGCTCTCAAAGCAGTCTAGTTCCATTTCTAGTTCCATGTGCATGTAGGACACAATATAATTAGTTTTTTTTTTTTAAATATAGGCCTTTACCAAATGGTTGCGATGCAGTTTGATGGTAAAAGTGCCTAAAACTGAAGAGAATGGTTTAGAAGGCAGAACAGGAGACCAATGGTAGTTACATTTAGACTTTAGAATTTTCTGCCCTCATAATCTGTATGTATGGAAATAAGAAAATGCTAATAACAAAGATTTAAATTAACAGTGCCTAAAAACCAAGTGAGATTCCCCAAAGATGTAGATTTCAGTTCCAAGCTTCAAGTAGATAGTGACTCAAAAGGTGATTCACCGGTTGAGGAAATCATGGGTTAATAATAGAACCAACACACTGATAAACAGCTCAGAACAATATGGAAACTCCAGGCTATAATTAAATGTAGACGCCACGTAGAAAACGGTACAAACAAAACTTCATGTCACAGCATTCAAGAACGTGCATGTGCAAATATTTTTAAACGTACAAACAGCCTATAAAAGAATCAACTTGGATTAGGGGGTGGCAATTATGAAGATGGAAATCATATCTTTAGTTGATTCATGTGACAATATAATGATCTGGCCTTTTTGCCTAGGCTTTATCAGCATACTTGGAATAGAGAGCCCTGTGACTCACTATTTACTATCACTATGTACAAACTAATGCGAGACAAGAGCTGTTTTGAGAGTGAGGAACTAGTTAGATGGGTTTGGGATTATATTACAGTTCAAATCTTACACAACCTTTAATATTCCACCAAAAAACACAAAAAAGAAGTCAGTTGTTTCCTTAAATCTTAAACATATAAAGACAACTGTTTTGGTTAAGTTTTTAGCTTACATTTCATTATCTTGGCCTGAGTGAAAAAAATTGAGGTATGAATTACAGCGACAGGATTTGATTAAGTTGGCGAGATGTTAAATGTGTCAAAATGAAACGTAAACCTTGGACTGTAACTGTATATTAATATAATCACAAAGCTCCAACACTGAGGCCATGGAGCCAGCAGTTACATAATGTCAATGTGCTGAGAGTGTGAAGTCCCCTGAAGATGGAAGTGCGAGCTCAGTCAGGTTGAGAGCTCCCCCTACTGGCCTCAGAGACACGGTGCTGGTGATGTTTCTGAAGCGCTGCATTGGCGGTGCGCGGCCTGTGGGGGGCTCTGTCCACAACTTTGGATACACGAGGCTTGTTATCAGGTGCTGCACAGGGAATAAGTTTGTCCGCGCTGTAAAAGAGAATACATTATACAGGTGTTCTGCTCAAATCAGTATAAATATCAAGTGTTATTATTAGGCTATTATTCTGTGACCAAACAAAACATACAATTTTAGCGACATGAAGCTGAATCTGCACTTAAAATAAAGTTGTAGATCCCCTCTTTTTCACTTTTAAGTCTGAAAACGCTCTGATCTAAAACGCTTACAGATGCCACAAAACACATACATGTGAAAACTAGTGACAGAAAAAAACTGTCTTTGAAGCGAATTAGTGAAAATGTGTTATTTATTGTATTGCTTTGTACACATTTGGTGATCTGAAAATTAGGTGCCACAGCTTTATTCCTTCAACTTTCTTTTTATGAAGGTGAGAGAGTCAACGATCCTGTGACCAACATTTTGATATTTGTTCCTTCTTCTCTTTTTTTCAATAATAGAACCAAACCCAATATTTCCTCAAGCCTAAAATGCAGAACGCGTCAACACAACTTTCAGTGAACTAATTATGATGGAACGCAGGATTATAAAATGGTTTAAGGCAATCTCATAAAATTCAATTACAGACATTTCTATTAAACACACTTTGAGATATCTCTGTTATAATACTATCATAATGATGTGATGCTCTTTCTTAAAAAAAAAATGTTAATACAAATAAAATACATTGGTCATAACTGATTCACAAAAGTTCATATATCAAGAATACAGACTTATAAAGTGTAGAATAAAATAATTCCAAAAATACCGTACCATGAAAGCATTGATCCATGAATCATCCCTTTCCTTGGAGGAGGTTGCGGAGTCAGGGACGGAAGCTTTACTTTTGAGTCTGTGTGCTGGATCTCCTCTTTCATGTCATTTACAGATACTTCTGCTATGTGACATGTGCTGTTGTAATCTGCAGCCAAGAGTTCAGTACTGGCCTTCAGGAGCCGACGCGTGCGGATCCCTGGAGCTTTGCGACTGGTCTGAGATGCTGAGGTGGTCGGAGGAGATGGTAACAGGATGGCGTCTGAGGAATCATCCATGTCTACAATCAGAAACAGAAAACTAGGATTTATTAAGGTTGTGTTAAGAAACAGAAAACTAGGATTTATTAAGGTTGTGTTATAGTAAAGCTGGGGTACCTGACTTTCAAACAACAACATTTGTCTATGTAATAAAAGCCACGAAACTATTGATGTCTTTGAGTGTCCAAAAAGGCGCTAAATAAAACTGATGCCTTAATATTGTTTCATACATGCATGTATTTTGGCCTCTCTTTTCAGTTTTTACTCTGAAAACTGAAAATGAGAGAACCGACCTCAAAGAGCCAATCAGCGCTCAGCCCAAAGTGTCAATTAGTGACTTCTAGGGCTACTTTTACAAGATTCCCATTAAGACAAAAAAAAATAATGATGCGTATGTGTAATAATAATAACAGTGAAGTTTGGTTTCAGCTTATCAAATAAAGTATCAACTCATTTGACCTGGTGAGGGAGACTGGAGTAAAGAATCGGATGAATCCTGGTCCCCACAGCACATCTCGTCCTCTTCATCAGAGCTAGAATTTTGGAGACCATCAAAACAATCTTCCTCTTCGTTGTCCTCTTCATCACCATGTTGAATTGTTAAAATCTGAGGACGTTTTTCTGTTTTTATTGCCTCGAGGCGCCTTGAAAAGTCATAATGTAGTTGCAGGTTAGTTCCTTATTTAATATTTCACATTGTGCTATATTTTATGATCCAGTACAATATTATAAACTGTTCTATAAAAATAAGAACGCAGCTAGTTTCCATCTGTAGTCCCCGGTTGTACGTAGTCCTGGTTTGACCCCGGTTGATTTTCCTCAAATTGAATACCACCATCTTGAAAAATCCTGTTTTTGACCTGGTTTTGATGTGGTTTTGCTTGAAAGGCATTTTTTCATATTCAAGATTCAAGATTGAAGAATTTATTTGCCATTTGTACCACATTGGGAAAACTGTGCAAGACTACCCCAGTGTGCACAATTCAAACACTATTCCCTACTTTGCACCATATTCCAAAGCAAATTCCTATAGTTTTTCCTAATACTTATGATGGCAATGAAAATATAAATTCCATTAACATGTTACCATCAATAAACTTATACCAGGGTGTCAGGTTAGAAGATAGTTTTGTAGTTATTAGTTAGTTGTTAGTTGTTAGTGTGTTTATATTAAGCATAAAGATGAAAAGGTGCCATTAGAAGACTTGTTACCGGCTGTGTTCGCGTCTCCAGACTCGTAGGTCAGCAAACACATCACAGCGGCTGTTCTCCCCCGGATCCTCCACATCATACGTGTGTTCGGGGACGTGAATGGGCAGCTCCCGCGGTGTGAAGGCCGAAGTCGTGGGAGCCGTCTACACACAGCACAAAAGATGAGGGCATGGTGGAGCCTGTAGTATTACATTATAACCTCATGAATAGTTGTTTTGTGTGTGTTTTACAGATTAATTGGCTGTATTGGTGTATGTGATTATTGTGGATAGAAAGCTATGGCCTACACAAACGCAAGACTCTACAAGGACTCTGATTGTGTATCCATATTATAGTCATCTCTGTGTGTGTTGGTTTTGTCAAAGTGAAGCACTTTCAGTTGCATTTTGTATGAGCTGTGCTATACAAATACGTTGATTGATAATGAATTAGAACAGCACTCGCAGGGCACAGACCTCCACCAAGAGGCACAGATCATACAGGTATTCAAACCATAATTTTCCTCATGACTTAATGATGTGTTTGGGGTTTTATGCTTGTGTGCACTTGGGGAAGTGGTCTCTGCAGTGAGACAGTGGAAATAGTGGATGAAAGATTTTGGAAACGTCACAGCAGCTTGTTTCTTTTGCACAGAACAGAAACACAGTTTATAGCAAGATAACACAAGCTGAACCGTCACAACACAAACTCTTCTCTCTGCACACAGCGTGGTGACACAAAGCACCACCAAAATGTAATCACTTTAGGAGGTGCTTCATTGTTCCATATCGTAAAGGGCCGGACATTACTTTTTGAGCTGGCGAGAACTAGCAAACTCTGCCAGTCGCACAACCTCAATTATTCAAAGTTACTCTACCACCACAACCCACGAGGGGATGGTGGTGGTAGAGTAACATTGAACATGCCTATTATTAATTATAATTTGATGATTCGGCCAAACAAAATGTAATACCATCCATACTTGTTCTCCTCCTACCTGCAACTTTTCTCGTCTTGCTCGAATGGCTTGTGCAGGATTTCCACAGAATAGAATTTTGGCAGATCCTTTAAAAAAACACATCAACAATAAAATCATATATTTTAAACTTTGCAAAGGACCTATAAGCTTTTGATTTGGGGGATTTGGGTGAAACTGAGAAACCAATAATTTATGTCAAAAATAAGTTTTACAAAAAGACTTCATGGACTCATGTTTGATTGTGTTTACAAAATCCATCCATCCATCCATTTTCTTGGAGGGGGGGAAATCCTAGCATTTTCGCAGGACGGCTGAGAAACATAGTCACTCCAACTTGTGACCCTGGGGCCTCCTCCCGCTGGGACATGCTTGGAACACCTCCCCATAGAGGAAACAGATGTCTGAGCCACCTTAAATGGCTCCTCAACTGGAGAGGAGGCAAATGAGTTATGGGCCAAATTGCTATTTCTTGTATATTGGATTGATGACAAAACTGACTAGGTCTGACTGAACAAATATTAATATTACCTAATATCCCCATTCTTTAAATAGGAAATCCACTCATACTACACTACAATGCTAACATATGACAAAGACACATAGGGCCATTTCTAAACCCACCATGCGTGAGGGAGCTGCTTTCCGCATCTTCTGTCGATAACCCGGAGTCAGACGATGCTGGCCTGGATCCAGAAGGAGAGAAGAGTCCTGTCGCCGTGGGGGGCCTGGAGCCAGTGTGGGGTCTTGGGCTTTGTGAAGAGCCTGGTCGCACATAGGAGAGACTGGTGGACGGGCGCCAAGCTGACGGAGGCCGACTCAGTGGAGATGTCCTGCCAGCTGATGGATTATGAGTTAAGTAACATTAAGTGAGTCATTAATCTCATTTATGAGAATTCATCCTTCATAAAAGCCACATTGAAATAGACCCATACAAACACATACTGTAGTCTGTGTCCAGGTGAGTGAAGCTGGAGCATCTGATGGAGTTCTGAAGAGTTTCCAAGTCCTCTCCCATTGTGCTGCTGCTGCTCAGGCCTTCCTCCTCCACTCTCATGTTGTCAAGGTAACGCAACTGAGGGATCAACTCCCGCACGGCTGCTCGATAGCAATAGTCAGGCGTCTATGTTAAGAGCAGATCAACACAGGGAACAAGCTTTGAGGTTAATGTTTACTGTACATTGTCCCTGTATATCCAAAAGATTGACTAAAACTGAAGTGAAAGTCCTGTGTAGTGTGTAGGCAAGGGGAAAAAGGGGATAAAAATACATTTCACATTGATACAATACAAATCTATTTTTAGGAGTAGAACTGTATGTAGTGCCATTATAATTGTGCAGTGTAACTATGCAGTGTTTATTCAACCACACGGAATAAGTAATGGAACCAAATTTGCGTCAATCATCCACCTCTCTGGATTTTCTCTCTGGATATTTTTTGAACAATATGGGAGTTAATTTCAATACAGAAGTTTGTTTAACATATGTGTACATACAAATTTGTATCATTATTATTGAAACATTAAACATAGAGCCAGAGTTCAAGCACCACACATGACATGCCACTTGAAAAAACTTTGGGCTGTCTGGTGTATGAATCGTGCTGCACAAATAAACTTGCACAACCATTCAGCTCTGATCTACTCTTTCCACAATCTGCAATGATAGCTGGACAGGAGGAAAACTCAGTGAAGCACCAAACAACTGCTATCAAATTAGTTAGGTACCCATGCCCTGCAGCACAAATGTAATGAATGAAAGAACTGGCAAAGAGAAACTAGCCAAAGAAAAAAGAGGAGTAAAGGGGGCCGTGTGACAGGAAGTGAGTGGATATGTGTTTGGCACAACCCACCAGCCTTCACTACTACAAAGCACAGACCTAATGCATATGCAGCTCAGCATCTTTCTTCATTGCCCCAGATTCCTAATTAATGCTTGGCTGGTCGGTCAGAGGGAAATAAACATTTTTTACCATTGCAAGGAAAATCTCTGCAGAAAGAAATCCATGCTTTGTATCTTGGGTTGGGGCATAATGTTGGAGATAAGAGGACCTAAAATGGATTATTCCTATTTTTATAGAAACATACACATTTAGGATATTAAAATCTCTCAAACTTCTATAGAATATGTCCTAACTTCTGAATGTCCTTGCATCCCTCACAACAATCAACATCCACAACAATGTAGTAAGTTAAATTAGCATTAACTGCAACAGAAATTGCAGAAGAATTTCCTCCAGGCGCCGCTGACAGTGACATAATGTGTGTTGGTCGGTGTGTGAATTAGGCTGTGTTTGGTTGTTGCCGTGGTGATGCCCTCAGCTCTCATTCTGTTGTGTATGTGGCACAAGCAGGTGCAGAATGGCAACATCACACTGATTCTTTGATGTCTCACAAAATGAAGATTTCGGTTAGTGTCTACATTATACCAGGAAAGATAGCCTTCATGAGCTGACTCACAACATGATAAATATATAAACATAAATTCAATTAAATATTGTATGGGCTCTATTTAATTTGAAGTATAAAAAACTTGCTAGACATTCCTCAGCTGCCTCAGTATTTTTATCTCACTCTCAAAATCTGTCTTCTAAGATACACTCAATGATCCAGAGACAAAAAATCCAGAATCTATTAATTTAGGCAACATTACATACATAGATTATGTTCCACACAAAAAAGCATTCATAACACATTTTAAAATGTGATTATATCAGTTGAATAAGTCATTTCCAATCATTGTTTGTGTCCATCATAGATATCAAGAGTCTGTTTTCCATTATCTTGGCTAAATATAATTTTTCATCTTCTCTTTGTGTGACAACTCTTTAAAAAAAGAAATCACAGAAGCTTTGAAATTCTACCTGAGGCTCAAGTGGACTTGGGCTCTTGCAAATGGGGTTTCCATCCAGAGTGACATTTTGGAGCTTGGTACACAGGCCAAGGAACTGAATCTGAACCAAGTCATCCACGTCGTTCCCCTCCAAGTCCAGGATGTGCAGGTTCTCCAGCATGCCCACTTGACTCAGCTCTGACACTTTGTTATAGGCCAAGTATAGCTCCTGAGAGAATAGTGCATAGCAGAGAATATGGCCATTTAAAGGAATAACAGATGGGTGTATGCTATTAATAAAATATGCACTGAATGGAGTTTTGTGGGAAGGAGTGGTACCTAAAATTAGCAACTGTTTACACATCCAGCCTTCTCTAAGTGTGTAGGTCCTGCAATACAACATGTACAGTACTATTCATGTATTTTAGGCTAAATTTTAACATCTTAACAATGGTCGGTCTATTATTATCTCTGACAGGGGAAGAAGGTAATGTAATGAGTTTGTTAGTTTGTGCCGTAACTCAAACAGTTATGGGCAGATAGTTACAACATTTTCAGTAAAGCTCGGATATAGGACAAAGAACAAGAGATTACATTTTGGTACTGATCACAGACTGGATGCAGGAATATTTTAAGTAATATGTTGCTACTTTTTCCCCCTCTGCCTTGGTGACCTGCGAGAACAGTGACTATTTTCCTAACTCTTTGAAAGAGACTATACACTTAAAATCAAACTTTACAAGTTATTGAAGTTGTCGTTGCAGTGCCAGGAGAATAGACAGCGGCTGCAGGGACAGGGTGTTTAGAAACAGCTTCACATGGACGTATAACTGTGTTATTTTTGTTCTTGCAAAAACCAAATTCCACCACAGCGCTGTGTGCAGTGACTGTTCTGTCCAGCTAGTGTCTTGTTTGAACAGTGTTTGTTTTAACCCAGTGCAAAATGAATTGGCGATTGCCCCATCTACAACTCTTTATTCACTATTTTCACTGCTGAGATATGTTTCAACTATTACAACATTACATCAGAAGTATAATTCTTATTATTACAACTACTATTGTCAGCTTGATAGAATGATCAATATGTTTGTTTTATTTGTGTGGATGGATGTGTTTTTGTTGCTACTGGACACCTGAATTTCTCCTACGGGGATCAATAAAGTATCTATCTATCTATCAAATGAACACAAGAGTATGATAGCGGCATAGCAAATGTAATTTTAATGGTTATTTCATCTATTCCAAAAAATACCTTGAGTGTGGATAATGATGAAATGCCATCCAAGTCTTCTAGACTGCAGCATGGCATCCACAAAACCTGCAGCCTAGAGAGGGAACTCCCAATATCTCTGTTGAAACAGAAGGCGGAAGAGTGAGAGAGGGAAAGAGATATAGACTATTTTCAACAAATGTGAATATACCTGATTGAGCGTATTACACTATTATTCATTTTAAGTTGCTCCAGCTTGGGCAAGTATTTACCTAAAAAACAAACAAGAAATTGTGGATTGTGGAAGGATTACAAAACTGGCAGTGTATGACGTCTGTAGTAGACATGCAGTGACAAGGCTATATCTCTTTGTCTAAGGATGTTGTGCAATCTGTGGTTTTCTATTAACCTAGTTGAGCCAAAAAAATATTGTATCAGTACTCCCATCGTGTTTTCCTGCATTCATACTACAAAAATATTTTGACAAATAATATAGGTATAACAATGTATGCATCGTTTTGTCAGTTCATAAAAAATAAAAAATATCCATGACTTTACTTACCAAAGTTTCCCAGTGTGTTGTGTAAGTTTACACACATTTCCAATGAGGTCACCTCTGATAGGTCTTGTGTCCCACATAATAGTTCCTGAAAATGTTAAGATGATATACATAATTTCCATTGATATCGAAAGTTCATTATACAATATTGTCTGATGAAGGGTAGCCCAAAACGTCACATTTTTTGGTGCAAAAAAAAATAATTCCTTGGGAACTAGAGTCATCTCCATTTTTTAATTATACAATGATCTCCTTGTGATATTGTGATGGGTATTGACTTTAATTTATGTGGAAATTGCAGCATATGGTGATTTTTGGAATTATACCCAATCACATGTTGATAATAAACACTATAACACATTGATTAGCTTCACATGCCAGTGTCTCTGGGGTAAGGTAGGGCTCCAGCTCTTCACAGGGTCGAGGAGTAGGGGTGGGGTTGATATGTCCTGATCCATGCTCAGTTATAATGACTCGAGCTGAACCAGGGCGAGACATCTGAGGCTGGAGGCTGTGAGGGACGTTCATGTCTAAAATCTTCCTGAAAAATCACACATAAGTTCACATATGTTTAGCATTAAATTGTGAATGCCTTTGCAGGTTGTACATAATTTAAGCTAGTTCCATATGTGTATATAGCTTAAACCCTGCATTTCTAACATTGGGCCAGATTGCCACTTCTGTAAGTCAGATTGCCTCATTTGTATGTAAGTCTAGTGAAGTATTTGGCTTGTCTTCAATATAGATGGATTATTTCATAAATTTTCGAGGAAAATTCAAGGTATCACAACGACAAAGTTCAGATGGACCAAAGCAAAAAGCGAGCCCCCAAGCTGTGAAAGCGCCTGTACAACTAAAGACAGTTAATATTAACACACATTATACTTAACATGTCAAATAAATTGTACCTTTAGAATACAGACAGGACCATCAACCAAAAGGGATCCCCAAAACATCCCAACGCCTGCATAAAAAACAGTTTCCAGCCTTTCCAGGGACAAAAGTTTGGTTAGCAACCGATGTTCACTTCCTGGAAACCAACAGATGCAGGCCTTCTGGGATTTGTAGTCAGACATGTAAAGTGAATAACGTCTTGAATGTTCTGGCGTAAAACACAGGGCAGATTCTTTTAAAACGTGACAAAATGCCAGAGAATACGTGCACATAAAGTGAATCCAAATACCACGCCGCAGAACATATCGGGGGAATCTTTTGGGGTCGTGTAATGCAAAGTTACGTTTAAGTGTCTACGTTTTAAGGATTTGTATAATGTTATTCTTCTTTATGACGATAACTTACTATTGCAAACGTGTGCAGTCTAAAGAAATAAAAATACACGCACATCAAAATTTAAATGTACTAACTTCTCACTGTATTTTGATCATTCTAGAAAAAAAAAATGTCGATTCGGTGCGATCCATGGTGCGATGGTACAAACATATTCCGAGGTTCCCTGAAGGCGTCTGTAACATGCATGGTGGAGACCGGGGCGGGTCCTGGTTTGATAGAACTGGGCGTGGGCTCCACTCGCACTGTCTGTCCTCGTCAAAAGCACATTGTTCAACGCGGCTGCTCTATTATTTTTATTTACATAGAATCCACCTTGTTTCATTGTGGTTTTTCTGTGATTTGGGCTGTTCCCGTGGCGCAGTGAACTGAGGATTGTCAGACGCGGAGTGGGATCTTCTTGTGTGGCAGAGGCATCAGCAGCAGACTTACAGATTTCCTCTCTGTGGCAGAAGAAACAAGGCGGCTGTGTGGCTAATTAAACCTGGGATTGTTGTAAGTGTGACTTTTGCATTCGTATTTACACATTTTGTCTGAGATGTTTGTGTACTGTGCAAATCCCATCACATGAGCCTGCGGTCAACAGCTGGTGATAAGGGCTAGCAATGAATGTACCATACCATGATCCAGTGCGCCTTTTCCTGGTACATCCTCTACTACTATCATAGCCCTTACAGATATATGTGTACTCTTCCAATCACCCTTTTTAAATTTCTCCTTTCAAACTCACCATTAGACTCCCCACGAATGTATTGAGAAGACATCTTAGAAATAGTCCCCCAAATTTTAATCCTTGTACATGTAAAATTAATTTGTCCTAAGTTGGGTTTTCTTGTAGACTTCTTACTGGCGCACAGACAGTGGGAGACGCCCCGTCACTCTCAGTATAAACTGAATATCACTGCGGAAGTTGGATTCCATTACAACCAGCGTTTCTTTCAGCTGCAGGCTAATTGTTGTTTTGTAAAGTGAAGGTTGAAAGTATGGGAAAGACTTGTGCTTTACGTAGGATAGACTTTCTATTGTGGATATTTACTTTATTAGGGAATCTGTCAGTTAATTGCATAGCCAGCCTACACATTGCATTGTATTTGTTTATATAGAAGAAATAGATTTTTTGTCGTGATTAATAAAACCTTTCTATTATGTTCTATAACTTCCAATTGGTTCTATTCTTTTAAAATAAGTTTTGCAGTGGATGCCTATTCAGATGCTGAGACTACTTCTATTTACCTAAGCTTTACCTTGGGAATGTTCCAGGGTAGGAACGTTGACCCCTATGCCTGCATTATGCTATGTGCCTAATGCTTTGTAAATATTTTCAGAAGCGCTTCCAGTTGGAATAAGCAACATTGAGTTGTGTTGTTGATATTTCAGTGTTGTATGTGGAGATATTGACATCAGACGAGTAAATGTACATCTCGGATTCGAACATCTGGACTGTTGTTGGATATATTGGCGGAAAGGACAAGGGCATCGAGTTTGGGGGTGTTGGGTGTCCAATGATTAGCCTGGTGCACGAGTCTCTGGCTTGCTTTTGTGTGGAGGTCAGCTGGCCTTTTCATCTCTGCTGCTGCTGCTGCTTGCTGCCTCCACCGCCTCTCCCTGCTCACAATACAAAACTAAAAGGATGACCCAATCCAGAAAAGGTCACATGAACTCTCTCATCCACTGTATTTACCATCTTATGACGCACACAGCAACATGATCGTGCTTGCTTTGTAAGGTGATAATGTGTGAACAAATTTGGAAATATTTCTGGGACTTAAGATCCTTCTCAAGATGCCATTTTGGTATTTCCCAGCCTGCCTCATTGGAATCCTTTTGAGTCTGATTTGTTGTCACCATCACTTCTGTTTGGATGCACGTTCAGAGGGATGATGTCAATGGCATAGGGTGGAAAGGGGGGTAGTACACAGGGCTATCAAGGCTCTGGGATGGGTCTTGGAGTCTCAGTATTGGAACGTGATACCTCCCGAGAGAGGGTCTCCGTACCATCATCGCTCCATTAAAAATCTATTATCTCTACAGTGGTGCTTGTGGCCGTAGCATTATTGATTCTTTCACCAATTAGTCCCTTGCATAGAAACAAGAATGTTGAAAAGGATAGCATTGTGCTGGAGGGTAGGTTGCATTGTCCTACTTAGTTTTGTTGGGGGAAAAGTTTTTTTAAGTCAGCATTCACTAAATGAGCTCATTCTAGTATTTACAGCATGTCACAGTAACATTTGTGAATGCTGTCTTGTTACAGTAAGCTCCTTATATTCAACTGATTGTAGTGCCCATGTATTATCAAATACCTGTCAACTCAAATGTGAGATCATACTATGGATACATTTATTCAATATGTGTTCACTGCTTTGTGCTCTGGGCATCAGCTTATATTATCTTCATAATGTAGGTGATTTTACCAAAATACTGTAGTGGTGAAAATTGTATTGTCAGAGACACTGGTTGAAAACACTTGCACACTGTAAATGCGCACGTGGTGAACCCACCCTGGCCTTTCTTTCATTCAGCTTGTACTCTATGCCTTGGAGCGCAGTGAAGTTGGGGGAAAGTTTGTTTGCGTGATAATAGTGTCTGAGACGGTCATGGTCGTGGTGGTGTTGAGGCGGTTGCGAGCACATGAGCTTCCCTGCCACCCGTCGCTTTCGGTTACAACTCTCCCAACTGTTCTTTAACACTCCACTCACTGAGGCCTGTCGGTCTGAGCTGCTGTCATCCCTCCACGATGGAAGAACCTGAGCTTTAACTCGGAATACACATTTTCAGACTTTCCCATTTTTGTTGTGAGCGCTGTAAGTTACTTACTTTGATAATGTGAATGGGACGCGTAAAAGCAGGAGTGCATCACTGCGCCTCTCTCTACCATTTTTACTGTGTGTGTTTTGTCAAATAAAACCTCAAATTATGATTTATATATTATTGTATACTAATGTTATGAGTGTGTGACCATATGATTTAAAGCCGTGGAGTTGTACAATTGTACATGATGCATTACAACAAAAGTATTTTTGTTTAAGGTTATTAATATACAACTTAATGGCAACCGCAATATACTGCCAACTTGATACAAAAAAAATCTCCTTATTGAATTATTAGAAAATACTGGAATTTCTGAGTCGTCATTATTCTCACTCTACCATAATAAATATCTAAAACAAAATTACTACAAAACCTACAGCTTAAGCCATTATTATTGCACAACCCCCAAACTAGCTCTCTTACAAACTCAAACTTTCTGATAAGAAAGCTTATTTTTTCTTTGAGGGCTTGGATTCTGACCCAGTAACCCCAAGTGTCCTGTCATCTCATTTTTATTAAGAATACTAACCTTCTCCTTTTCTTGTCCCATGTGTTTTCATTCCCCACGCTGCACCCTCCATTCGCTGTCATGTAACATTATCCTCCGAGCCCAGGCGGGGTGCTAGGGTTTCAAAAGAACTGTTAATTTCCCAGGCTTAAGGTGGTGAGCTATAAATAACTTTAAAAAGAAGGGCTCTGCCGGAGTGCTTTATGATCATAATGAGGACAATTTGCCAAAAGTGTATCTTTTCTCTTCTGTGACTAACTGTGACGGACTGTGGTCCAACCTGCCAGATAACACTGAATATAGTTTATTGACTCATTTTTTATTAACCGCACAAGAGCATTCATTGTAGTCATCTGGCTTATCAATAATTAGAAAGTATTGAATCTTGACTTCATAATTGATTGCATTTTTTTCTAAAAGCCACTGATTTCATTAAATACATGAACACTGAGAGATCATGCACCAATATATTACATGTTAAAGGTGTAGGAGCATTATACTTCAGGGTGCATCGTCAAGACAATTATATAATACTCTCTTCTCAATTGTCAAGAGAGTTTTGTTCAAAAAGTGGAGAGGGCGGTTCTTTCCTAAAATTTGGGAAAATCCTCTTATATATAAATCTTTTTTTTTTTACTTGATATATGATATATGATATATATTGCTACATCTCCAGATCAACTCAAAATTATTATTTTGACTATGGATGCACCACACCCTTAAGAGCATATCGGACATCGGTGCTGATAATTTAAATGTTGTTTCATCGGATGCCTCTATAATCTATGATATCAATTAAGCTGATTTCAAGCTGCTTATTTACTGCTGAATTTAAAGCTGAAGTAACTAACTTTGAAATCACAAAACATTAACTATGTAATAAAATCCGGCTAAGTCGTTCGCTCTCAAAACTGCTTGGTTCTTTTGCATGCTTTCATGGTTGTATTTTTGGCTTCCATCACATTTTTTCATCAAAAAATTGTGATGGAAGCCAAAAATACTTTTTCAGGGAATAAGAGCAGACCACTCAACATAATATAAATGTGATTTGAGGGAAATGCAGTGCTATTTTCAGTTCCTTCACTGGTATCACTTCATTTTGAGTAACAGATATGAAGTCCAAAATTCCAAAAGCTTAGAAAGATAGATAGATTGCTGCATCCCTACTTCCACTACTATTGTCGTAAGTGTACATTATGAATTCCAAATACTGGTTTGTTTTCCCATACAGCTAATACCATTTCTATTTAACATGGAAGTTTTCATACAAGCAACGATTGATCTAAGGATTAGATGTTCTTTTCTTTGAGAAAAAAGGTTTTGTGACAGACAGAATGGAGCCCGTTTGGGGCAAGCTTGGCGGGGTAGACGGCCAGGAGATCTGAAAGAGTGACAGCTTCTCAATCAATGATTAATTCTGCTCATCTCCGTATGTTTGTGTGGATTATTAATCAAATTGTGCCATGGCCCATTTTATTTCTCAGTAACTGGGAGAAGCAGAGGATTAGCATAATGGGAATCATTTCAAGCATTTCTCGGGTGCAGATTCAGATGCAAAAGATAACATGCTTTCTAAAAAGATGATCGTATTTTGTGATCTCATTTGATTACAGCATTTTACCTTTTGAGTCATAGTGTTGGGACAAACACAATGCATTTTTTATTCAACAAAAACAGGTATTCCAGTAGCTATTATAGGAATATAGGTATTCCAGAGCTTTAAGAAGGTATCTTGAGCAATTGGAACACATTTCAGATGAAATGTAAAGCCGTCATAATGTTGCAATCAGTCCTTGAGACAAGAAAACACCACGTTATGCAAAACGTTGCACCTCATGATCTTAATTTACTGTAATCACAGGATCTGCGTCAGAACATTATTTGGCCAAAGCAAAGAGCAAATATGGAGGGGACGTAAAAAAAAAAAACCTCCGGCAGAGTAAAGGGTGGTACTGTTAAGAGAGGTGGTAGTAGTGACTGTCATTTGTGGCTGACCTTGCTTTTATTTACACAATGTCAAGACTGTAACAGAGCTATGGCTCAACATGTCCTTGATAGTCATTTTGAGACTCGCTCTCAAGACGAAGTCATTTTGTTGATTTAGCTCTTGGAGTGAGAAAAATGTACAAACATGCATGTATTATTTATTACAGCTGTTTAAGGATTTATACGTTTTCTATTCATTTGAATTGGAATTTGAATGAAAGGCATAGACATTTAGTGAGGGCAAAATCAAAAGAATGTATGATTTTTACTGTTTTATTGAAGATGTGGAAGTTGTCCAGACTGAGGACAACAGTGAGTCATTGTCATTCAGCAAAGGTAATATGACTCAATATGACATTACTCGAGTTGGGCTGGTGTAGGACTGGGACAGAAGTTCCTCCACTGAGAGCGCTGGTATTCATGAGATAATAAAATTAAATTGGCAATTGTTGCCGTCATCTCTTTATAACAGCGGTTACCGACTATAAACCAGAAGTTATGGTGACCTCGGCTCAGGGTCCGGAAAGAAAGACCCATGAGCAAAAATAAATACTTGACAGACAGGGTGGTACAGTTAGAATTAAGTTGTCTTTCTTACTTTATAGTTTAGTGTAACTGCCCGTGTCTTGAGCAATTTGATACACTGTTTCACTTTCAGTATTACGAGGGTTACTGCCTCATTCACCAATATCTAGAAGGAATTTGTCTTTTTTCTCACATTGGGTGTGCCCCTAAATTCCTTCACTGTTCTCTCTCATATCAAAACTTTTATTTGTATAACCTCTCTCTGCCATTCAAGTTACCATTTAAAATATTATACTTTGTAAAAAAATACAGTTCTGTAGGTTGTTGCATCGTGCCAAACAATATTTTTCCAATTTTTATTCAAACAGTTTACAAAATTCTGTATATTTTTGATATTCTGACATTGAGGAAGCATGGCTATGCAAACCTGATTCATTTCACTATAACATTGTTAAGTTTGGATGTTTTTTATTTGAGTTTTTCAATAATTAACAACTATGTTTTGTAATCATTGAATCATTGGCTGCTCCAACACACGACTCATAACTACATTAACAATGAAATGGGAAATATGTAAATGCATCATTTCAATTATAAAACAGTTTTGTCTGAAAAAAAACTCTCCAATGGGAGAGCAGCATTACTTCAGCATCAGGGTCAAAAAACGTTTATCAAAATATTTGTTGTATACTGCCCTACTTCATATTATGTCTGCATTTTGACCAACAACAAAAATGCCATAATGTCACAAAACCTATACTTTACCAACCTTCAATCGCATTTGATGCATAATTCTATATATGGTGGGGTTTTGCATTAGTTTCAGTAGCATCATTTAAGGTTTATCATTTAATTCTCTAGCTTTTTCCCTTCCATTTAAATGTGTTTTGGTGACAACCTTATGCGAGACGCCCAGACCTGTGGCATTGCCTGGAGACAAGATATATGTGTAACCTGTTACCTCTCCCCTTGTTCAAATTCAGTCCAGATGTTGTGCGTGAATGGAGGCTGATGCGTGCGCTGGCCCAGTCCGTTCACTGCAGACAAAGATTGTTTTGGAGAGTGTGATGATGCGTGCTCCTCCGCTGCTTGTGGAACACAGTAGGTTTGATTACAGTGTGCCATGACAGATGGAGTCGGTTAGTGCATTTGTGTTTGAGTCCACATCAGGAGCAGACAGTAACACAGCGCCGCCAGTGTATGAACTTGTTATGAACTATGATCCTAGCCTGGAGGGACGTAAATTGTTAGTATGCTGTCCAGGAATAGTATGTTAGTTACAAGGTGACTGCTTCCTATTTAATTCATCTATTCAAACCCTTGTAGTTCAGAAAATGTCGATAATGATGCAAAATAGCTATTAAACCGACTTTTGTGAATGAATTAAACATTATTTGAAGTGTCACTGTGACTATCCTAACAGTTACGTTGTTATTCAATCCAAATAGATAATACATGTATTATTACAGCAGCCATACAAATACCAAAATGTCCTAGCGTTGATTATTTTTCAATGTTGTGTTCTTCCCCTGTACACTTAGTAGTTTGGGGGGTGGCAGCTGGGTGCAGCTCTGACTGCCACCCCCCCTGACCCAGAAATGGATTAAGGGGAAGAAAATGGATGGATGGTGTTCTTCCCCTGCATTTCATAAAACCGTGATCTATATTGACGATAGCTTTATTGTAATTGAGGTTCAGATTGTATTGTTCTTTTATCGTGTGATATTGGACGGAATCTACCTGGTTATGTGTATTTTCCATTCAGACTCGAAAGCTTGCATTTGTTGTCATCACTGTTAAAATGAAAACAAATTCTTATCCTTACCATTTGCCTCAGGATGGTACGGGATTCCCAGTGATTTTCCAATGAGCTCAGAAGTTACCACACATGACATCAGATGGCTGTGTTGTGCTGTGTGTGTGTGTATATGAGTATGAGTATGCGTGTGTGTGAGAAAGGGCTTAATGTTGTTCCATAAAACACTGTGGGGTTGTCAGGGCCTCTCCCAAACCTGAACTTTTTCTTCTAACTTAATATATATTTACCATGTAACACATCCATTTGTTTTAATAATACAATTATACATGCACAGTGGAAAGCAGATATTTTACTACACTGTGCAATAATACTGTTGAACTTAGGACTTTGTAGAAAGTAATAATACATACTGTAAGTTAATGTTAATACCGCTCAATAATGTGGCATTGAGCCATTGTTTTTGAAACAATGAGAGTTTTAGGGCAGTTCATTTTTCCAAGTACTATGGAAAGGTCAACGGCACTTTTTTTTATTTTTGGTATACGTATATTTATTGCATGTTTGTGTGTTTGTTGTTATCTCAATTTTCTGAAATGCAGGTAGCCATTCAGTGACGTCTGTATATCTTTTACTGATTAAGTCACTGTCACTATGTCAGGAATTTTCAGCCCTAGATTATGTTACGTTGCCGCTGCCCGGCTGTACGCTGCCCGGCTGTACGCTTCCCGGCTGTACGCTGCCCGGCTGTACGCTTCCCGGCTGTACGCTTCCCGGCTGTACGCTTCCCGGCTGTACGCTTCCCGGCTGTACGCTGCCCGGCTGTACGCTGCCCGGTGTACGCTGCCCGGCTGTACGCTGCCCGGCTGTACGCTGCCCGGCTGTACGCTTCCCGGCTGTACGCTTCCCGGCTGTACGCTTCCCGGCTGTACGCTTCCCGGCTGTACGCTTCCCGGCTGTACGCTTCCCGGCTGTACGCTGCCCGGCTGTACGCTGCCCGGCTGTACGCTGCTCGGCTGTACGCTGCCCGGCAGTACGCTGCTGCTTGCTGGTGTCATTATATGTATAACAGATTACCTATTTTTTCTGCCAAGTAAAAAGAAGGATATTGTTTAGTTTAGAAAATGACTGAGGGGAAGTCCCATGCCTGCACTGAAGTCAGACCATCTCCACTTACTGCGTTTCTGTGACTATGCCACACAACAGGACTCAAGTCAGCTTTACCCACAAACCAGTCAATCCACTCTTGTCAAAGGACCTGCGGGGGCCGTTGGGCTCCATATCTGATTGAGTACAGTGTACTTTGAGAAACGTGTAACTTTTCTCCGCTGCTCGGCTGTACGCTGCCCGGCAGTACGCTGCTGCTTGCTGGTGTCATTATATGTATAACAGATTACCTATTTTTTCTGCCAAGTAAAAAGAAGGATATTGTTTAGTTTAGAAAATGACTGAGGGGAAGTCCCATGCCTGCACTGAAGTCAGACCATCTCCACTTACTGCGTTTCTGTGACTATGCCACACAACAGGACTCAAGTCAGCTTTCCCCACAAACCAGTCAATCCACTCTTGTCAAAGGACCTGCGGGGGCCGTTGGGCTCCATATCTGATTGAGTACAGTGTACTTTGAGAAACGTGTAACTTTTCTCCAGCACTCAAACTTTGGAGCTATATTGCTATCATACAGTATATGAAGACACCAATGGGCAGTGTAATCACAAACATCTTGTTTAGAGCATAGATAGATAGATACTTTATTGATCCCCGTAGGAGAAATTCAGGTGTCCAGTTGCAGCAAAAATGAAATTGATCATTCTAAAAAGCTAATAATAGTATTAATCAACATGTGATGTTATTTTAATTTTGTTTCACATAGTTTAAACAAAACAATGAAAGCCTATCCCGTTTTGGCGGCTCTGATGCCCGGTAATATCTCTAAATAGTTAAGTGCTTTTTCATTCATATCCCTATACTGAAATACCAAATCCACTCATGTTTAGGGCCCATTATAAACCCTGTTAGTCAACAGATCAATGACGTCTTTTTGCCTACAGCTAAAAGTCTTAACAGGAAACGCAACAGGACATAACAATAATAAATCTTCAAATCTATGCCATGCTTGCACCAATTATTACACAATTTTATGAATGACCATATATACCAGTTGGTTTACTTGATTTGAGTTTTCAAAGATTTGAAGCATTTCAGCTCTACTCGTGATAAGTCGACATATTTGCAAGAATCTGAATGATGCGTGGACGTCTGACAATGTCACACACCACTCCTTCCTCTCTCCCTACCCATCATCCTTCACTCACAGTCAGGATGGGAACATGAAGTACCACATGGAGCACATTTTTCACATTCCCCTCAGAGGGTCTCCACCTCAGCCCCCTCTTGACACCACTCTGACACCCACTGAAAATATACTGTATTTTGTAGCTCACCTTCACCGCAGGCAAACGGGCCTTTTGTCGTCTGTGGCTTGAGGTCTAATATGAGTGAATGTGTCATTACCATTAGTCTAACCCAAACTTTTTTCCCTCTTTTCTCCTCTCCAGTGGTGGTTTGCGGTGAGCGGCAGTGGCAGAGATGACCGAGTATAAGCTGGTGGTAGTGGGAGCGGGAGGCGTGGGCAAGAGTGCACTCACCATCCAGCTCATCCAGAACCACTTTGTTGACGAATATGATCCAACTATTGAGGTATGACGTCAACTCAACACATCGGTTACAAAATACCTGTCATTTTGTTTAATTTAATGTATATTGACAACCTCATAAAATGACTATTCTATATTTGCCTGCTCTGTCTACTCGAACTCGCTCTTTCTCACCACGCCTGCCTCTGGCCAGACAATGTCCTTTTTGTGTATTTGCATTCCTGGCCCCTGTGCTCTAACAAACAAAGAGGGAGCACTCTGTTTTTTTGTAGCTGCGCACGAGAAGACTGAACGTTGAGTCTGATAACGTGTTTCTCTGATCTCATGCTCCACTGACCCTACTACACTATCAATGTTGGAAATGTCTAACAACGTTACATTTACTATAGTGGATGGTTTTTTGCTTGTCTCATATAAGGCTGGGCAATTATGGGGGCATAAAAATATAGTCCCGTACTACCAGGGTGTTTGAGCGCACATGTATGTTTGCCGCAGCCGCTCGGTTCTTTTTAAAATAAGGAATAGAACAAAGTTGAATGCAAGCTACAGGTTTTCATGTTGGTACCCATAACCGAAATGGCACCTACCTAATCTAATTCTTATCTCAATTAGATTTACGTTGCCAGCCCCAAACTTTAATCTTTATTTAAATTAGTGTTTTATGTGACACATATGTTACACATATGGCACCCAAAAGTGAGTATTTCATGCCGCTCATAAATCCAGAATCAGAATTATTTTTATTGCCAGCGTGAGTAACAGGAAATCACAAACTAGGAAATTGCTTTGGCTCTCGGTGCAAAAAAGTTATAAAAGTAAAAATAGAATAATGCATGGATAAAAAGATTTAAAAAAAAATCTACATAACATTTCTTACAATTACTGCTACATACAAATACTATAAAACGTGTTATCTTTTGGATACTCGTGAGAAAGAGCCCTGTGAGTCACGATTTGATGCTATGGGCTGCGTTAGGGTGGTCCTCATTTTTTCACTTTTCTGCCTGAAACAGCTGATATATAGATGGAGGCCAAAAACACATCCACGTGATAACTTTTTTCAGTTCGAGAAACCAGTTAGACACATTTTTATTACATGGAAAATGTTCGTGGTTTCATTTCATTTTTCATTCAATTTCATTCTTGCTTTCGTCATTGTTACTCTACTTTGTTCCCTTTTTTAAACATTATTTACTGTAAATAACTGCCAATGTCGTGATTGATTGCAACTTAGACATCCCCCCCCTTTAAAACCACACAGACAAGTAAAAGTGATGCATGTCTGATTCTTAGTATGAATATGTCTCTTCCCTATGTGACTTCCTGTTACTCACATGGCAAGAAAAGGATTCTGATTCTGATTCTGATTCTGATTCTGATAAAAGGACTCGTACCGGAAGCAGGTTGTGATTGACGGAGAAACGTGCCTGCTGGACATCCTGGACACAGCTGGTCAGGAGGAGTACAGCGCTATGAGGGACCAGTACATGAGGACGGGAGAGGGCTTTCTGTGTGTCTTTGCCATCAATAACACAAAATCATTCGAGGACATCCACCAATACAGGTGTGTGCAAGAAGCAGCATTATGTATTGCACATTATGTATTGCACTAGACGCTGTTGTGTTTGATATTTTTGAATTATGCTTCAACGGGATTTTTGTGCTGAGGGTTTAAATCTCAGACTAGGAAGTAGACTATCAAAATTGTTGTCAACTAACTTGGCAATCCTTTCATATTTTTTGGAACTTCACAAAGACTTAAATAGGCTTTTCTTCAGTACTTTAATCCCACAACTCGATGTTTAACAAGTAATTTCAATGATTATGTTCTCCAGGGGCCCTTATTGGTCAAATGTACAAATACAATCCCATTTTAGTTATCACAGCCCAACTATGATGCAACCAGTCCCCTGAGCAATACACTTCACCTGCTGTTTGGAAATGGCAACCCTATAACAGAAATGAAAGCTTACGAGCAAGCTACTAAAATTCAAAACACAATGTTCATAATAAAAACACAATACACCAAAGAACTCCAGGACAGAAATGTAAGTGGATTTGAAAGCTTGGGGCCCCCATCGTCTCTGAGGGAGTGTTTGTGTTTATTTACCTCTGGGTGCCAGCTCCCTGCTGTAGTCTGATGATGTCATGCTAAAACGTTTGCCGCGACTAAAGAAAGCTTAGCCCGCAACTGGAGGCTTACAGCTCGATGCTAATGAAATCGATCTGGACTCATTTAGAAGGTTTGAGCAGAGGTAGAACTCTCAAGGAGGAGGTTAGGTCTACGCTAGCTTGACTGCCTCTCTACTTGATGGGCACTGGCAAGGATTGCACTCAGTAAAAAGGCAGCATATTACTGTTGTGGCCCAGGACTACACAGCTTTGCAAATATTTTTCTGTCAAGATTTTTTTTGGAACAACTTTAACACTGTGGGCAGGGCAGTAAAGAAAGTAATGTGAAAGACACATATTTGATATCGAATGGATTAGTCAGAAAATTGGTGTTGTTAAAAAGGCCCCTAGGCTTGCACAAAATAGATCTGTGGTTATTACTAAAAATTTGATCCAAAACTATGATTTTTAAACTTTAAAGTCGCCAATTTACATGGTCTTTTTATAACAGGTTTGTCATGATTGAACTATATTTTATTCTTGGATTAAATTCTACACGATCATGTAATATTTCACCATGAATAGTAGTATTTGTCCATTTCCACAAAGAAATCCTACTTTCCCTGTTTTGTAGGCTGTAGACTGCTGTAAATGCCTGCATTACTAGCCAGCCAGAGGAGCCAGTGTGCAATGACATCACTTTAGCATAAATGCGGTCATAAACACTTGTGAGCGGAGCTGGCTGCAGAGGGCTGCTCCCTCTCTGGTGTGGCCAGTGCATCATGCTGCTGCTGTGGCTAAAGTAGCTGATGGATTGATTTGACCCTCTCCCCTCGCTCTGCTGTAGTGATGAGGTAATGCTGTTGTGCTGCACCCTCTGCCTCTGCTCCACTCCTTCAGCAGTGCACAACCCTCACAATCCTCACGGTCTCCGTAGAGTTTGCTCCTAGGAGGCTGGTTCTCCTGTGGTGTCTGTTGTAGGTGTTGTTATTGTAATCATTAAATGTATTCTTAAGATGTTTTCCCAAGGGGGCTAAACACAATACACCCAACAGCAAGTTTTCACGTTTATTTGTCAGCATAAGCTTGTATTATTTCTGCAAAAAGTGGTTGTCTTTATTGTATGTATCTTTCCAGGGCCTCTGCATTAGCGCACAAGGACTCTTATAATAACTTCTGGGCCAGCATCATAATAAAGACGACCTGAAAGAGTAGCATTTAGAATAGAAGAGCTTTGTTGTCTCTCATACGCAGTGATGGCAGAGACGTATCTTTGGCTTGCAAATACACTGATACAGGACAAGGTGGCCCGATATAAAACAATTATTTCGATCACTGTAATATCTGAAATAATCAGTGGGGAAATACAAACCAAATGTGTTTATTGCAATTGAAAAAGCTCAATATATGTAGGGTAATAATGTGAATGGCCATGATATAATAGTATGAAGGTTATAGTAATGGTCAGGGCTTATTTTGATTATGATTAGTTGTTTAGATCAGTGTTTCCCAACCGAGGGTATACAGACCCCTAGGGGTACGCAAAGGTATTACAGGGGAGGTACTTGAAATGCTTTCAAAATATTGATATTAAGAGCTATCTTGGGCTTTGATGGCATTTTGTTCACCATTTTAAAGCAACAACCACAACAATCTTTTTTTTAAAGAAGACAATCACTTTTTCTAATCATTGAACTCAGAATTATATAAATCAGCCTTTCTTACTTTAGGTCCAATTCTGGTGTAGTCTTCATATGTTCAGAAATAAAAAGCAAAAAGAGGTCAAAATACCTAAATGAATAGAAAAATCAAAAAACGAAATTTAAATAAAATTATTTGATGTAAAGAGGTAAGGAAAGTCATCCTTAAAGGAAATTATTTATTATTTTAGCTACTGGTAGTTGCAGCAAAGCCTAACCAAATTGTTTGACCCCTGGAATAGGTGAAAACATGGCCCCCTTAACAGCAGGGGAACTTGGGCTATGTCTATGCTGCAAGGGAGCACACAGAAATAAAAATGGAAACGCTGGTTTGGGAAAGATCAGTGAATATTTGTTTCATAAAGTATTTGACCAAAACAAAACTCAAAGATTCCCCTGACTTGTTTCACATTGGGGTGTTTTATAAAAACTATGTTGTAACACCTTTCCATTTAATCCTGCTGTCATCTGTACATTATCTGAGTCATAGAACCTCTTCTCAGCATGTGCAAGTCTTTGTGATCACTATAATTCAAAAAAAGATTAATCAACTACTAAATTAGCTAAATTACCAACGACCTTTGTAATTGCTGTAATTGCATGAAACTTGTGTACTCAAGACTCGTACTTCTAGAGATTATTATTTCATAAATGTCTAATGGCTTCCCAACAACATGAGTGATTTTACCTCCTTTGCAGAGAGCAGATCAAACGAGTAAAGGACTCTGATGACGTCCCCATGGTGCTCGTAGGCAACAAGTGTGATCTCCCTGTGCGCACAGTGGAGACGAGACAAGCCCAGGAACTCGCCCGCTCCTACGGCATCCCGTACATCGAGACTTCGGCAAAGACACGGCAGGTACACAACCACACATGCTGTTACATCTGATGTAATAACAGCTGAAAAGTGGCACCTGCATGTGTTCACAGGCAGGCGGCACCTGAATATAAAATAGTTCTTATAAAAGAACAAATAGTGATTCTAATCTACTAGCCCTATGTTTTATACGGTGTCGGTTTGTTTTGAAACCCTTTGATTCTGTTGACTGAAGAACCATAAAAAAGGGCTCATCAGGACATGTCTGAATCACTCTCTAAATAATGATGTTATTACAGGAGAGTTTAATACAGTAATCGAACCTGTACTATATGGATATGAAGTAATAATGTTTATTATTCTGATGTGCGTGTTACTACGGTAACCATTATCTTGTATTGCTTTTTGCAGGGAGTGGAAGACGCCTTCTATACACTGGTTCGGGAGATCAGACAGCACAAGCTGCGAAAGTTAAACCCGCCTGACGAAAGCGGCCAGGACTGTATGAGCTGCCGCTGTGTGGTGTCTTGATACAGGTGAGAAACTGCAATTCATAACAGTATTAGGGACTTTTGGACAACTCAAAAAGAAAGAAGAAATCACATAATTTTAATATGTTAAAATATAGAGCATGGGTGTGCCCTCTGTACTTGAATTTAAGAAAATCGGTTTACTGTTAGAAACATTTATGTCACTTTCTTCAGACACAGAAAGTGACTTACAATACTTAATTCTTACAATACACAACTCTACTTTATCAAAGCACGTCAAATCATGAGGATTGATATTGATGATTTAACTGACTTCTTGTCCTCCACAGCCTATGATGCACATTTAGAAGACTTGCAACGGATTATATTGGCAGCATGGACTTGAAGATGAAAGCTATAACAACACAATGGTAACTTTTCAAGATGGAGGACAATGATTGAATGAACTGCTCTGAAGGAAATCAGCAGAGCTGTCAGACCTGGGAGAGCTTGGACTGTTGCCTGAATGGTTAGCTGAACTGGCCCGCTGAGGGCCTCTATTTTTGGGCCGCCCACGACCTCACGAGCAACACCACTAATGACTCTTGTCAACTCCAATGTATTCTCACTGGTGAGTGGCACAAGTTTCCTGCTAACTTGTTTTCAGTCTCAACACTGGTCTTGAAAGGAGGCATCACTTTACTCCTTCCCCCTCTCTTCCTGACTGCGCACTAGAACGAAAACGAAAAAGGATTTGACTGGAATAAACATTAAGTTGCTTCATCGCCTCCATGTTGACACACTACCTGTCTTTGTTTGCTCCCCCTGTGTTGTGCCTCCTTCATTCCTGATGCAAGGAATGGACTCTTCAATACAAATGACTACTTTTGTTGTTGTCCAAGTTAGCCTTGTGCTATAAAAAATATTTTGAGATGGACCAGTTTATTAACAGAATGTCAGAGAGCTCTGTGTGAGTAAAGTGTTTTGTTTGTTATTTGGCACCTGTCTGACCCTTTCATAATAAATCAGGCATAGTAAGAATTCCCCAGAGGTTAGTTATGTTGATTGGACATCCACTGCTCTCAATCACAAAGCTGCCTTCTTCTTCTTGTGAGATTGTAGACAAGTATACATACTTAGAATCTGGTGAAATTGGATAGAACAAATTGAATTTCAGATCACTAAATATTATCTTATTTTACCATTTTCTACTTGCGCACAGTCTATAAGGCTTAAGTCTTTTTTTGTTCTTCCCTTTTTTGCAAGATCATAAAAAATGCCTCCTTTTATTAATGAATATCCAACTTTCCTAGGTTTTTCCATTTGCCTTGATTTGAGCGTACAACATTATTAACGCAGTCCAGGAGTGTAGCATGAATACAATCGTGGGTGTATTGGTGGTGCCTCTTTTTGTCTACCTTTTTTCTATTTTGGCTTTTCAAAGGGAAGAGGCCTTTGTCACATCACAATCTTCTGTGCGCAGGTTTAAATGTAAATTATGATCTGGGATTTAGTTTTTTTAGTACGGCCTAGATACTGCTGCTTAATGCACGACTGAAGACTTGTTTACTTTGCCTTATTTGTTGGCTCGTTTGTACCGATTTTGCTGCCCTGTTTGGTTAATGTTTATGTGCTACTAAAATAGCAGAATCATGGGATGTTCTCTATTTAGATTAGAAATTTACAAGAAAACCTCACATAACACTAACGTGAACTGTAATAATGCTAAGTGAGTTGTCGTTGTTATAAAAAAAAAAAAATTGTCCTCTTGATGAAGGGTTTTCAACTCGCTTTGTTCATGGAAACTGGTACAAAGTGTCATCTCAGCTGATATATATATATTTTTTAACTGTATCTTAAATCATTTCAAATCAGATCTCATTTTGCGCGAGCTTTGAATTTGCTCGCATAACAAACCTTCAATATTTCAAGGCATTATTTGGTGTAGTTATCATTATAAGTCGATTGTGTTTATTTTTCTAACCGGCAACGATGAGAACTGTGAATGTCTTGTTTTAAATTGCTCCAAAATATTAACAAGATTGCATTTGTTTGTGTTTTTCACTTCGAAACTTGTTTTTAGATCCCCCCCCCCCCTCAAATATTTGTTATCCAATGTACTCAATGATTTTTATGGCGAGAAGAAAAACACATTTTGATTCACGTCCTGGGAGTTCACATCCATTTCCAATCCACCTCAAAGCTATGCAGAGATTTAGAAGAGCAGCGTCACATTGCCTGTATCGGCCAACAGACATCACGGAGAAATACACGCAAAAGAAAAAGGAGAAACTGGCACGCATGACAGACTTTTGGATTTTGCACAAAGATGCTCTGGGTTTGAGGGCATGTGTCCCTTGTTTATTGTGGATGCAGGTGTGGAAGGACTTTGTGAAACTGTTTAGCTATTTAAGACGTGTGTATATATATATATATATATATATATATATATATTACTCTTTACAGATGTGGCAGTAATAAAGATGTAAAGATGATGTTGTCTTTGAGTCCTTTTTGGTTCGTTTTTATCAATCTTATTAGAAATTAATATTTACACATGAAAACGCTGATAACTATGATTTTGCTGCCATCTAGGGGCAGTTTTAGGGACACATCTTACATTACATACATCAACAGTAAAGCAGTGCATTGTACTAGTGTTTATTATTTCAGAAAAAAAAAACATTTAATTATTGTTTCCTTCAATCTCCACATGTGAATATTGTTGACAGCCAGTGATGTTTTCGTTATTTACCTTTTTATTAATAATGAATAGTAAAATGTCATTTGAAAGAAACGTGTAAGTGTAGAAGTTCAATTGAATTAAATAATATTAATTTTTGCATAGCCCTAAAATGTACAATGGTAGTTATCTCGGAGGACTTCCCTAAGTTAAAGGTAAATAGGAATTTTACTCAAGAACCGCCCTCTCCACTCTCTAGTATCACCAGAATGATTGACAATTAGGTGGACCAATAGTCTTGATAATCCACCCGGAAGTAGAAAATCCTCCTTTAGGCCTTCAAGGATTTGCCAACATAAATCAGGGAATCAAACAGTTCAAACACAGGAAATGCAACAGCCAAAAAACTATTGATGGTCCCCTGCACTTGTTTTAAAACCAGAGTGGACAGATCCTTCCAGGCAGTTGCTCCTCACCTTTGGAATGAGCTTCCCCAGTCTCTGCTCATCTTAGAGACTGTAGTTGATTTCAAGTCCTAACCAAAGACTTATTAGTTTCTGTGTCTTAGTTTTTAAATCTGACTTGTATGTGTATTTTTGTATCTGTTTTTAATGTGAAGCGCTTTGTGATCCTGGTCTGTGAAACGCGCTATACAGATAAACTTTACTTACTTACTTAAAAACACGTAAGGGGCAAGTTTGACAATATAAAAAACAATTCCCTCTAACATTTCACAAAAGTCACACTTGAATGCTAAATAATTTTAGACATTCTGTCTTAAGAGGATAAGGGAACTACAAAGAAATGATTAACGGGGTGGAGGCTTCTGTTAGGATTTAAGCAGACAGAGACGGATCGTGGTGTGCCAAACTCTGGAAGTTTATTTACGTTTCTCTCAAGTTCCACTGGTTTACTCTGTTTCTTTTCCTCAGACAGAATAAAGGCAGTACACAGTTTATATAGTCATTGTCACGTCACACATCGAAAGACATACGTGTCACAAAGAGACAGTCACATCATAGTCATAACATGGAGTCCTTGTAGAGTCCTTGTACAGTCCTGCACGTAGGCCATATTGCTATCTAATACTAATACTTCAAGTCAGGGAAACTGGGTTTGTGTGATTCATGCTTCTGTTGTATTGTGTTTGCTTAAGAGTATACATAAATTAGGGAGATATTGTCCAACAAAATCAATCAAAATGTATCACAAGTCGTACATCACAAAGTATCATAACCTGTATATGTCAGTAACTGTACTTCTACTGTTTGTAAAATACACACCATAAGTTCTGCTGCAGTTGAGCATATAATGTATTTAGGTTATGGCTACAGCTCCATATCTGTTGTTTGTCACCATTGGCCTACATGTTTATATGCGGTGTCCCATTGGCTGCCAGTAGTCATATAAGTTAGATATTAAACACAGACTGCAGACAAAAAGGCAAGTCTGATGTTTCCTTATTTTCCTCCTGAAACAGCTAAATCTCTAAACTGTTTGTACCTGCTTTACATTTTGTCAGGTTTTTGTTTTGTTTACATCTGTACTCAATAAATTGAGAAAAACCAGATCTATAATGTCATCTAAGATCAGAAAAATGCTGCCAAAGGTGAGTCACAGTTTAAAATATGTTTCTGTATATAAACTTGTGAACTGTTGTGTTTTATAGGAATATCTTCGAACAATAGTTTCTCAAGACATAGCTGCAGCATTGAGTCATTTTAAGACTCTTAAACCAGTGATGCAAAAATATGGTAAGAATATCATACATAGGCATAGGCAATTCATTGAGTATTTTGTAACTTAATTGTTGTTTGTATTAGTATACAACGATGGAGTTACCAAGGATTTGATGTGTCTATCCGGAACAATTTCTACAATATTTAATGGTAATGACTAATCAGGTTATTTTGAATCTACAATGTACAGTAGATCTTTTAATACTTGTATTTTGTGTATCTAAGACAACACATACAACATCCCTGTGTCTGTATGGCTCGAGGAAAGCTATCCACAAAGTTGTCCGATTGTGTACATTGACCCTACCAAAGAAATGATGATTATTAAACAAAGATTTATCTCAAGTAATGGGGAAGTCCTACTACCATATTTAGAAGAGTGGAAGCAAGTATGAAATCAGTCAAATTGTATGTAAAGTTTTGATTCATGTTTTAAGTCCTGAATTGTTGTTGTCTTATCTTCCCGTTTCTCAGGGTGAATGTGATCTGCTCGGCTTGTTACAGGTGATGGCTGCAATGTTTGGGGATTGTCCACCTGTTTGCATGAAGCCACTTACAGAGCCTGAGCAGGCACTATGTAAGTCAGAAACTACAATGGAAACAGCATTATTACTACTTTTATAGCTCCTGTAGTACTGCTCTAACCAAACATTTATTTTAGGTTGGTTGCAGTTCCACAGAGAGTATGACATTCATTACAGACCAGATGGAAGTTCATATTTGTCTGTGTCTAAAGATAATGGGAAAGATAATGAAACCAACTGCTAGTCATTTTTATATTTTTATTGTTGAAATGTGTAATATTTGTTGTTGCTGTCGTTATTTGTACTAACCTGGATGGAATAAATGAAATCATACAAATCTTTTTTTAGTTTTTGTTACCAGTTCTGGAAAACTTAATTAAAAGTTTAGATGTGTTGACATTATGCAATTATTGACTATGTACTGACACAACAACTTCTATTTGGTCATTGTGTTTTGGACAAACCTGTGTGAATGGGTGATACTGTAAACTATACCAATACAGATATATTGAGTATTTTCACACATAGCATATCCCTCAGCCCATCCTGTCACCATACTGTAATATAAATATGAATGTTTTGTCAATCTGTTTTTTATTTTAACAATTATAATCACTAGGGTACAATCAACATAGAACTTAGTACTTACTTCGTCTCAATGTATTTTGGTAATTATGCATATGTTTATGCATATTTGTGTTGTTTGTTCATTCCAGCACCTCCAGTCTGGAATAAAGTTTGATAATGATCACCATGGAACTTTCCAATAATAATAAAAATAAAAGAACAGAAAATAGATTAAAAATAACGTATAATATGTACTGAGAGTTAAGGGATAATGTAATGTATACATTCTAAAGATATAAATAGGACCAAAATAATGTAATGTAACGGATATTACGCAGGTGTCAACCGGAAGCCCTTAAAGGGATTGCCGGAAGCTCCTGTTGTTGACGATCGGACATTTCTCTCGGATCGTATGATTAAACTGGAAATTCAAAGATCTTCAGTACAAAAGTCTCCAAGTTTCGAGGTCAACAACGGTCCTAACAATTATCTGTCACTGTTGTTGAGCCCGGCGCTGGGCTAGCGTGCGTTAGCCTAGCATAAGCTCTCTTACTGCTAGTTAGCCTTAGCTTGTGCCAGCTAACTCTTCAGTGTCGGACTTTTCTCACAAATACTTGAGCCATGGCTGTTATCAACGATGGAGCCCTGAAGAAAATGCTCAAGGTAAAACTAGAGTTAAATATGAGGGGGGTGAAGAAGTTGATCTTTGTAAACAACATCAGGTTAACATTTCCTTAGCTTATAAACACAGGACAGATAGCTGTATTTCCTGTGTAAATAATAATGTTGCTAAATGGGCTGTTTTTTGTCATTGAATTATGTGACATGTCATCATGTATTAATAACTGGTAAACATAACAACCTGTCTTTTACACTGAACTTTTATAATGGTATTATAAACCATTTCCTTGTACGAGCATTAATATCACAAGTTTAACTTTATATGTTCCAGCAATATAAATACAGAGACTTGACTGTTCGTGAGATTACTAATGTCATCTCCAATTACAAAGACCTGAAGCCGGTCATGGATGCATATGGTAAGAACTAATGGTCACTGCATTTGAAGTATTTGTTTTAGTTAAGTAGTGTCATGTGTTTAATTGTTTATAATCACTTACTTTACAGTGTTTAACGATGGTTCATCAAGAGATTTAATGAGTTTGACTGGAACAGTTCCAGTGAGTTACAGAGGTATGTTTTTGTCTCTATTCTTTATTTAATTTAGTACAATCAATGACCGTGTCTTGATTTTTATTGTAGGAAATGTTTACAACATCCCAGTTTGTTTGTGGTTGCTGGATACATACCCCTTCAACCCTCCCATTTGTTTTGTCAAACCCACAAGTGCAATGATGATTAAAACTGGAAAGCACATTGATGCCAATGGAAAGATCTACCTGCCTTATCTTCATGAATGGAAGCATGTACGTTTCTTACATGTGACAGAAAAATATTAATGCAACTACAAGTATGATGAAACTGATTAGAAATGTGTCTCCAGCCTCAGTCAGACCTCTATGGGCTAATACAAGTGATGATTGTGGTGTTTGGAGAGGAACCTCCAGTGTTTTCACGTCCCACCACACAGGCGCCATACCAGGCCTTTCAAGCTGCTGGACCTCCTAACCGTGAGTTGAACAAAAGATGAGACTATCTTGAGTAGACTGAGCAAACACTAGTAATAAATAGAAGTAATAAATCTTTATTTATATAGCGCCTTCACAGGCCAGAGTCACAGAGTGCTTTGCAATTGTTGTGGGTATTTGTCCTCTCACTCCACACAATATAAAGGTCCATGAGGCACGCATGGCTTTGGTGACATAATAGAAGAGATTAGATTTAAAAAATATATTCTTAAGTCTGAAAGTCTGAAGTCTGTTAAAGTTACTAAGGTAACCATTAACCGGGAATAGAGACCAGATAGCTCAAAAAGGTTAACATATATTCAACTATTTCAACACTAGATGGCACTAAGAATTCAGTTTTCAGGCTCTGAATTGTGCAATTCCATTATGAGAAAAAATGTAAATAGTACACGTTTGCATTCTTGATTTTCAGCTTCCTACATGCCCGGAATGCCTGCTGTCTCACCTTATGGCCCAAATCCCAATCCAGGGTAAGGAGTTTGCCTTTATCATGTACATAATGGGATGTTTGCTTGTGGACCTAAGATTTACCACAAATTGTTTTGTAAGAAAATAACAGAAAGTTTAGATAAAGTTTGAGAATGAATATGGAGTGTTTTGTACTCTTGTTATTTCCAGAGGCTATCCAGGCTACCAGTATCCAGGAGGAAACTCATATCCAGCCTCAGCGGGCCAAGGACATTACCCCACTCAGCCCCCAGCCTCAACTGTTGGTATGTTTTAAGATGGCCGTGCATCAACTACTTTGTGCACATTCTTTAAACATGCAAAATAGCTACAGTGAACAGGATGAATTCAGATTAGGGCTGTAGTTGATAAGTCAATGTAAGGTAAACTATTAATCGATTTCACGAACAAATTCAATCATAGTAACTAGTTAGTTACAGCCCTTTATGATTCACGGCATTCACCTTAGAAAAGTAGTACACAATACACACAAAAAATACATAAAATGCTTTAGGGTTAGGGTTATAACCCAACAAGAAAATATTGAAGTTATTGTCCCTAACTTTTGGTTTTTTGTTCCAACGTAAAGAGTCTTGGAGTAATATTTTGGTAACACTTCAGACCACAACTGAGTGGAAGCTGTTCATTCATTGAAATAAGGTGATCTAAAGATCACTGAGACCAAAAATGCTTGCGAAAACAAGTGATAGAACCCAAACATTTTGAGAGCTGTTTAGTAGATTAATAGCTCAGGTGCTCAAACCTTGATTTGAACAGAAATTATTTTTGATTAAAATAAATACAAAAAAAGAGAGAAGACACCACTTGTTTAGAAAGATGATTCTGATTCAGATGGTTGCTGATTTAACATAAAGTACTGGTGGAGGATAAACCCTGACTCTACACGGTAAATCCTGATTTTGAGCACGGCAGGAGGCCAGTTCCAGTGGTCCCCATAGTCGGAGGCGGGTCATATGGCACTAACATGTCAGAGATGTACCTTGGTAGGTGCTGTTGTCCATTATGTTGATCTTTAGTCGACCCGTCTCAACTTCTGACCTTTAAGTGTTACATTATTGACCCCTGTATGACTGAGGAGCAAATGAAATGTCACTGCTGTAATAAGAGAGGGGGCATAAAGGGCATGGAGCTCACTGTACACCCAGCCCCTTCCCAAAATTCAGACTAGTGCTATATTTAGTCCCGATACAGTCGCCACACACAAAGCCCAACACCTCATGGCTTTCATCAGTGTTCTATTTATGGCTGAAATATGTAACTTTGATGTTAAATCTATTTTAATTTGATACTCTTTTGTTTTCAGGCCCAAACAGAGATGGCACGATCGGAGAAGACACGATCCGTGCGTCTCTGATCTCTGCCGTGAGTGACAAGCTTCGTTGGAGGATGAAGGAGGAAATGGACAGAGCTCAGGCCGAACTCGATGCTTTGAAAAGAACAGAGGAGGACCTAAAAAAGGGCCATCAAAAACTTGAAGAAATGGTCTCAAGACTTGATCAGGAAGTGGTAAGAATTCCGTCTGCAATGTATTACTTTGTTGTTTTCCTGTTGTTAATGTATTTGCCGTTACTCCTGTAGGCCGAGGTAGACAGAAACATCGAGCTGCTGAAGAGAAAAGACGAGGAGCTAACAGAGGCCTTAGAGAAGATGGAGAATCAGTCAGAAAACAACGACATCGATGACGTCATTGTCCCCACCGCCCCACTGTACAAACAGATCCTGAATCTCTACGCCGAAGAGAATGCCATAGAAGACACCATTTTCTACCTGGGAGAGGCTCTGCGCAGAGGCGTCATAGACCTGGAGGTTTTCCTCAAGGTGCAGCATACATTCACTCATAATTCACTCCACGCTTGATATATTTTTTTCTCCCACGCTTGATTTTAACGTACACTTTTTTTTTCTTCTGGTTTTGCAGCACGTCAGACTTCTTTCCCGAAAACAGTTCCAGCTCCGTGCCCTTATGCAGAAAGCAAGAAAGACAGCAGGCCTCAGTGATCTCTACTGACCCTCACTGACAAAAAAACACTTTCATTTTTCTCATGTTCTCCTCTGATTATAGTCATTTTATCTCCTTCAACTTTCAGTTTTATTTTTCTCTTTTGTAAATCCCAACAATTACAGTAGGCTTTCATTTTGTTTGATGTTTTTCTGTCTTCATGTTTGGGTAATGTCATTGGTGTTGAATCCCAAAGCTCAATATGTATCCAGATTTATCTTTGTTGGCCTTGGAAAGATTTAATATACATGAATGGTTGATCTATTTCTCCTATACTTTTTTCATGTTCATTCAATCTGTAATTCCAAGCTGACTGAAACTAAAAATTATGTTCAGAAGTTTTGCTGCCATGTAACAGTGTCCATTTTTACCTGAAACATTGTAATATTGACACCAATATGAGAATGATCAAAGTATCGATCTTCACAAAAAACATACATTTAAAAAGACGTCTTGCCCAATTTGTTTTAAACTTTCATCGACTGGTTCATTATGCATCCTTGGCGTGTTCTTTTCTATGTTTTCTTGTCTTTGGATCTCTGGGATTTGTCAAGGTACACATTTAAACTTGTGTTAATCCGGACATTAAGTTATGTACATTATTTAGCCTTTTTACTAATGCACTTTGAACTGTATTATAGAGTCTGTTTATTGCTTTCTGACAACCATACATTTATACTTCTCTAGATCGATGTTAATCAAATAAAAATTCTGTCTTAAATGTATCAGTCTCAGATTCTACTGTAAATAATACTTCACTCTTACTCATTCCCCAATGTCTGTCAATCGCGTGCCCCTAGACTAGGGGCCGCTGAGTCAGCCGCTCACCAACAAAGGGACAAAAGCAGGTCTTGTTATCCTGGCAGATTTATTTGATGTCACAGCATAAAAGATATCAATGTACAGCTGCCACCACTGGTACACATCCTCTGATCAGATTAAAATCTATTGTAACATCAAAAAATAAATAAAGCTCAGTAAAAACAGGACTACAGTAACAGGGTTATGTGCACATAAAACGATCATTAACCATCTCATTTGAATCCATTATCTTCTTGTGATTTTAATATATTAGTATGTATGGTAGCATAGCTAGTATCAGTGCACTTCAGGTGGATTATAATTAGAACTTGTGGACAACCTCTCACACCCATGGAGTGCTTTAGCATCATAAGGCCTGGTCCAGCGATAAGCAGCAGTTTTATGATTGAGGTGCAGAGGGCAACTTTCTCACTGAGAATGGAATGTCACCATTTTGTGGTCGACAAGAACAAAACACAGATTACTAATGGAAATGACCAGCTGGCAACAACCATACACACAATACAATCTACAAGCTGGGAGTAGCAGTAACAGTGACATAGTAACATACATATACAGTACACAGTAGTCCTCTGCTTGGTTTTACATCTTAAATTTCAGTCATTGCAAAATAATTGTGCTAATAAAAGGACACAAATGAGTAACGTTTATAAATATTAGACAGTAAATGTAGCTCAGTCACAAACCCTTGCCCTTTTGGTAATTGTGGTCTAATGCAGCTGACACATGATCGGCAGTGGACACTGTCGCTGTGTTTAGGAGTGATGTCGGGGCCGTAGGAGGAAGCCCTCACAGGGTGAGCTCCTTCTGTACTCCCCAGAGAGTCTCAGCACTCTTCCTCAGCTGCTGCTCCTCATCGGCCTTCAGAGTCATGTTGATCACGTCAGTTAAGCCACTGTTCCCCAGGACACAGGGTACGCTCAGGAAAACCTCCTCATTAATTCCATGCATTCCCTGATGAAGAAAAACATGGTGAGTGTTGGTTTATAGCATAAGACAAAACAGCCACAAATCACTCTTTACCTTGACCAGAGTGGACACAGGCTGCACTTTGTGCATATTCTTCATGATGCTTTCTACCAGATCAGCCACAGACAGACCGATGGCCCAGGAGGTGTAGCCCTTCAGCTTGATGACTTCGTAGGCTCTGTAGGTCAGACACAAAGAGGTAAAACTACTACATGAACAGGACATTGTCCAAAATAATTAAGTCATAGAAAAAGTAATGTAACTGAATTTAAATATCTTGTACATAGGCCTAGTGCAATCAGCAGATCAAAGCAGACAGGGTTGGAAATCTGCCAAACGACATTAGTTCCCCATAAACATGAAATGAGTCATCAGGGTTGGTCTGATACTATTGGTGTGGTGCAATCACGCACTAGTGGCTTTTTAACATTTATATTTGTTAAAACATTCACAGAACTTTATATAATAATAATAATAATAATAAATTAAATTGAACTTACCCATCAACAACCTGTTTGTGAACGTCTTTCCAGTTCTCACTGTCAGCAGCACTTCCCATATCTGGGTTCAAACCCTGAAGACACACTCCAGCTACATTGACGCCACTCCAAACAGGTACTGCAAACATATTAGATTAATTATAAGATCCTAGATTCTTTCTTTTTTTCAATTGTTAGCTAACAGATGCCTACCACTGGAGTCTCCATGCTCTCCAATAATCATGCCATGGCAGCTCGATGGGTGCAGGTGGAGCTTCTCTGCCATGAGGTGACGGAAACGAGCAGAGTCAAGGTTTGTTCCAGAGCCAATGACACGGTTGCGGGGGAAGCCGCTCAACTTCCAGGCCACATATGTCAGGATGTCCACTAATAACAATAGAGAATATTGATGATTTGCTCATTCTCTGAGATCACAGAAGGACCACTTAATGTCAGTCAAACCTGGGTTGGAGACCACCATGAGGATGCAGTTTGGACTGTACTTGACAATATTCGGGATGATAAACTTAAAGATGTTGACGTTGCGCTGAACCAGGTTGAGGCGGCTCTCTCCTTCCTGCTGACGGGCTCCCGCGGTCACCACCACCACCTTTGAGTTAGCTGTCACACTGTAGTCTGTTGGTAAAGCACAAGTACATTTACTGCCAAAAGTAATAAATCTATACATTATGCAGAATGATAGATATGGAATCTACTCTCACCTTTGTCAGCTACAATTTTGTGTGTCTTCAAGAAGAGGGAACCATGCTGTAAGTCCATGACCTCACCCTTGAGTTTGTCCTCCATAACATCCACCAGGGCCAGCTCATCACACAAGTCCTAACAAACAAACATACTATTAATCTTCTACAATAATCAAGAGGCAGTTGGTCTTTGGAATGTAGCACATCCTGCCCGGATAGCACATTAAAGCAACTCGGAAATGTGTTGTGTCATGATAATACACACAGATCGTTGGAACTTATTCATCTATACAGCATTTCCTTTTGTGTATACACATCAAATAGACATCACTTCCAAATAGCTTTATTTGATCTATTTTATCACCAACTTTGAATATATGGATGTACACTTCTTTGTGAAAATGGTTCAGGGCCACTGTATCTAACAGCTTCAATCATAAGATTCATAATCAAGAGAACGCCCTCCGTGTAGAGATTTGAAAAACAAATGTAATATTCAAGTATTAATTATCAATTCTAAATAAATTATCATCTATGGCTTATATATTTAAATGAAACACTATTCTCCGTTTCATAACAAGCAAATATGCTCTAACTTTGAAGCAGCCTCAAGCTATCCTGAGGTCACCATGACCCTGGCACTTTTCCATACTATCCATGTTACTTAAGCCTGTCCTTTTCGGCACAATCTCTGAACTCACCTGCTTGTTTCAACAACTTAGAACATCATGAAGTATTTCTTTAAGCTAAAGCTGGGGTATGCAACTTTTTTCTTCATAAAGAGCCTTGTGAGTCACTATTTGACTCTTTTTGGCCGAGATTGGCTGAGTGAGGGTGGTCTTCTCTTTCTAATTCTGTCTGAAAATGTTGATCTAAAGATGTGACAAAAGCCAAACATAAATGTGAAAACTAGTGATAGAACACAACAATTTTGAGAGTAACCCCTTGCAGTACTTAGATGGCTTTTTATTACATAGCAACATTCAATGTGGTTTGAAAGTTAAGTACCACATATTTAAAGCCCATTCAAAGTGAGCAATCAAACACAGACAGAAATGTTTAGCACCAGTCAAAGTGCTTCCATGTTAATTAGTTTTACGAACATTTTCCCATCACCCACCTTGAGCAGAATGCTGACAGCGGAGGCCATTCCTACCATGCCAACACCCACAACAGTCACTTTGTTCATGCTGCCAATGGCCTCTTCCTTGGACACATGGCTGATCAGTTTCTCCTTGGTGGACATCTGGATAGTAGATGACAACAGGTGTAAGAGACAGAAAATAAAACAGCGGGGGGGTGGGGCTTGGAGGATGGGGGCTTTACATTGTTGCCTAAATGTACAGTGGGAGTTTCACAATTATCTCAAGGACCTTTATATAACCTCCACAGATGTCCTGTCAAGATCCTATATGGCACAGGGGCAGTTGTTTTTTTCTCTGACATTCCATGTTTGGGGTGTCCACAAATCTTGACTATGAGTGCTTCCATTTCAGCTTCTCACCACAGCAGACAGACCAGGGGGGTCAGAGTCACTACGGTTACATCACCAGTTAGACCAGGCTGTGTCGCAGTGGAACCATATAGAAAATCTCACTCACTAAAGGGATATCAGCTCAGTGCTATAAGATCAGTCATACACATCCCTTTATCCAATTATCCCCCTCCTGCAAACAAACTGGGAGCTGAACTGCATGACCTTCCCTGGAATGACCAAATAATTCATTCATTGTCATCATTCCTCCAATGGTTTCACAAATATATTTTTGGCAATCCAAGCTCAATCCATGGCTGTGTATGTTATAATTACTCCATGAAGCAACATTTCCCCCCTGTGGGCTAGTAGCACTATATTAAATTAAATGTGAGGACAGATTGTACTAGCACCAAACACAGAGGAGAGTGGAATGGTATCAAATGATGACAGTCTGAGCATCACCAAGCCAAGCAAACTGCTCGTGTTACATCACCACATCCACTCACGACACAGGAGAATCCACCATTCAGAGTCATTGCAAACATAAATCATATAAATTATAAGCCATATTTAATAGGATGTCAATTCTAATGATTAAATTCATAGCAACAAGTTGGCTGTAGTTTTTTTTTTCTCACCCCCTCAAGCTTAGATTAAAATTTGTCTTTGTTTTTGTTTTTTCTTACACAAGCCCACCTCAATTCTATAAGTAGGATTCGTATATTCAAGTGCAATTTAATAGGCCCGTACTTTGCCGCTGCTGGTCACCTTTACTCCTTTGAGGCATCCAAGGCCAGGCACACCCCCCTTTCTCATCCAGAAACGAGCATCGCATCGTTGGATTCAAGCGCAGTCGAATTACGCACATACCAAGTGGCAACTACAGCGCACAAATATGAACGCCTTACCTTGAGTCTGTGGTGGAGGGCTGTCTTCTTTAAATAGCAAGTGGAATGTGAGCTGCTTCCTTCAGCTGCAGTTTCCGCAGAGTGCAGTGGGCCAGTGAAAGCCAGGCCCTATTTAAGACGGCCTGCCTCCCGGACCACGTCACAGGCGCGTAATGGTTCCGACGAGGCGGTGCATGCTCCGTGTCACGTCCTCCATCCACTCGGAGGATACCCCGCAGACGTGCCGCATCATGTCCTCTGCATATCCAAAACACGAACACTTGGAATACAATAATAACAAATAAAAAAAACAAGGACAGCAGCAGAGGTATGCAGAGATTCAAGCTGCAGCTTCAGGTCCAAATAAGGCATATATTTCAGACAACGGCGTGCGTGCCAAAGCTATTAGTAGTGCGCTGGACTGGTTATATAAACATGGGAGGAATGCCAGGTTTATATACACAACACAGGGATTTATATTGTAGTTCTATGTTGCTAGGTTGATATTGTCTGGTCATTGTCTGGTCAAGGATATTAATTTTAACCTTGTTTTATGTATGTGCTTGTCTTGTGCACACTGGGGACTTTGGCAAATCTAACCCCAATGTGGTTGTACAGCAAATGGAAAATACAATGAATCTGAATCTGTTTTAAGTGTAAGTGTAAAATGTATCAGTGTATGAGCCATCCAGCTGGTCACTTCCTTATAGTCACTTCCCACCAATGCACATTCTTTCCTTGGAAAAATAGCCACGGGGGTTGCAGGATGAGTGAATGAACTTATACATGCTACTGTCTTTCTATATGCGAACCTGAACTTCTCTTGGGATTGCTTAAGAATGTATATAACATGAAGCCAACTCAGATCCATGGCTCGGGACGGTGCCATTTTACGCAGGGTGATGGCGGTGGTGACATAACGCTATTATCCAAGCAAGCCCTGGTTTTTGTCATTTGGCTCCACCTAAAGGTAATCTCCTCCTAGTGCATATGATCAGCGCTCCACGTTTTGATAGTGCGTGATTACGTTTATATGGCACGCTCCACTCCTATTTCCGTTCTCAAGTTTCCTTACTCAATGGGTTTTTTTTTTTATGGTACTCACCTCACGCAATAGATGTACAATCCGTTGCATCAGTCCTTTTACGTGTCATAACGATACTGAAATGATGCAATGTGACATATTCTTCACCATCCTGTTTCATTACAACTGTGAGAACTATACTATGTGTAAAGATTAAAAGATCCTGTGTTCCACCTATACAGTGGGGAGAATGTCAGTGTTGCACCACCAGTTACAGAATAGTAGGATTGAGGAGCACCCACACAAGATAAATTAACAATAACTAATAACAAAATACTAAAAAAACAAAAATGTCTCATTTTTTATACAACATCTCTAGCTTCTATAGCATGATAAGGAAGCAAATCTAAAATCTCCAACTTCAGCATGATGAAGAAGCAAACATTGCTTGTATGTGCTTGTCTTGTGCACACTGGGGACTTTGGCAAATCTAACCCCAATGTGGTTATACAGCAAATGGAAAATACAATGAATCTGAATCTGTTTTAAGCGTAAGTGTAAAATGTATCAGTGTATGAGCCATCCAGCTGGTCACTTCCTTATAGTCACTTCCCACCAATGCACATTCTTTCCTTGGAAAAATAGCCACGGGGGTTGCAGGATGAGTGAATGAACTTATACATGCTACTGTTTTTCTATATGCGAACCTGAACTTCTCTTGGGATTGCTTAAGAATGTATATAACATGAAGCCAACTCAGATCCATGGCTCGGGACGGTGCCATTTTACGCAGGGTGATGGCGGTGGTGACATAATTAATAGTTACCTAATGTAACTTAAGTTCTACGAATAGGTGTGTAGTCCCTTAGGACTTCGCTAGTGGGATATCACGTGACCCCCAGGTCACACGCCAGAGAGATCAAATATATAAAAATATGCTCCAATCACTAGCGACCCTCCTCTATAAAAGCCCCTGCACAAGGCCGCGCCCCCTCTTGAACTCTGCCAAGCCGGGCTGGCCTGATGGGCTCGTAGCTAAGGGACTACGCACCTATTCGTATAACTTAAGTTACATTAGGTAACTATTAATTCTACGTCATGGTGCTACGTCCCTTAGGACTTCGCTAGTGGGACACAACGCGGAGGCCGTTTGTTGATTACTGTACCTGTTTCAATGATTGTTATCACTGTCAACATTGGTTTAATAGAAAAAAAAAAAGGGGCCCTATACACCTAACTCAAGAAACCATAAAAATTAAAGCAAGCATAAGTTCCATTACACATATATAATACAAATAAATAATTCACAGTAATCAAGCGATATAAGACTTGATTAGTGATGGATTCAACCAAAGATAAAAAAACATTTGAACTTTTCACACACGATTAAAGATATGATAAGTAAGACTTTATTGATCTCACTCAGGAGAAATGTTCATGTCACATTTGGCACGGATAGAATAAATTGTGTACAAAAGACAAGTGTACAAACATGTTAAAATACAAAAATAAACAAAACACAAATATTAGCTATAATATAAGTATATATATATATATATATATATATATATATATAATAAAATAAAATTGTCCACTCACCTTTGGCCCTCCGCGGGCGGTTATCCCTCTCTAAGCTCGGGTCCTCTACCAGAGGCCAGGGAGCTTGAGGGTTCTGCGCAGTATCTTTGCTGTTCCTAGCACTGCACATTTCTGGACCGAGATGTCCGAGGTTGTTCCGGGGATCCGCTGTAACCACTCATCTAGCTTCGGGGTCACTGCCCCGAGTGCACCGATCACCACGGGCACTACTGTCACCTTTACCCTCCAGGCCCTCTCCAGCTCCTCTCTGAGACCTTGGTATTTCTCAAGCTTTTCATGTTCTTTGTTACCATCGCTTGGAATTGCCACGTCCACCACCACGGCTGTCCTCTGCCCTTTGTCTACCACCACGATGTCAGGTTGGTTTGCCATTACCATTCGGTCGGTCTGTATCTGGAAGTCCCACAGGATCTTCGCACGCTCATTTTCCACCACCTTTGGAGGAGTTTCCCACTTAGACCTTGGGGTTTCCAGCCCATACTCTCCACAGATGTTTCTGTACACTATGCCAGCCACTTGGTTATGGCGTTCCATGTAGGCCTTCCCTGCCAGCATCTTGCACCCTGCAGTTATGTGTTTGCCCTTCTGTGCTGTGCTCATGAATTGTTCCATATGCCCACTTATCTTAGCCGCAATGATGCCTGACATGAGCTTCCATGTTGTGGAGAGACAGGTTATTGGCCGGTAGTTGGAGGGGACTGCACCCTTGACAGGGTCCTTCATGATCAGGACCGGTGTGTATATATATATATATATACACACATACATATATACATTTTATATGAAATAAAAATAATAACTAGTTTCATTATTATCACCACTAGTATTAATATATTACCTTAATATTAATATTAGTAGCGCATTATACAAACACTGTTAGTATTATGTCTAAATTACAAATGTAACAAAATACTTCCGATTATCAAAGGAAGCACGTTTATTTTGAAGGTGTCCACCTTAACCACAACAAAGAGCTTGACTGATGAAGTTGTTTTGGGACTCGTTAAAAGCAGAAATAAAACATGTCAGACACAATATTCAACTTTCTTTGCAGACAGTCAATGCGTCGGGTCGGGAACCACACGTTTTTTTACCCGTCTGTTATTCCCGCAGTTCGCTGTCTTTTTTCCTTTTTCCATCACTCTGCTTCAGCGTCTCTGCCTCTGCTGTGGCTGTGCGACTGACAACAACAAGGGGGAGGGAGGGGAGGGTTGAAAGTGCGACATAAGGACGTAACGTATGAGGATCATGGGAGACAGCAAGTGACAACTTTAACAACCAATCAAATGGGTGATTCCGGATATGAAGGGCCTCGTAACAGCACGAGTGAGAGCCCCCGCACTCCGGGGCCCTTCCAGCTGTGGGGCCCTACGCATACATCGTAGTCTGCGTATAGGAAGCGCCGGCAGGCCAGCGAAGAGTGATTGGAGCCCCGCCCGAGCAAGACCCTCACACAGTGAGAGGACTCAGGGCAGAAAAAGCAATTGCGTGTTACAGGGCCACTCCTCCCAAGGACACCCCCAAGTAACACAGACCGAAGGCCACCCGTAGTCCCAGGACGCCTTCCCAAGAGCTCCTGACGTGGACTACCTGACTGACCAAGCACACACATATATCGCACCTGCAGGACGCCACTCCTGAACCAGGGCGGAAAGTCAACCGTCGGCCCCTAAGAGGGGAACAAAAAGGTTACAACTCAGCACGGAATGGGCCACCGACCGGTCCGATACATCCAAAAGGTAAGACCGGACGAAAGAAGAGGACGACGCCCAAGAAGCCGCACGGCACACATCCTTGACCGAAGCCCCCCTGAGGAGGACCGTAGAGGCCACCACCCCACGCGTGGAATGCAACCTGAAGCCCACCGGGGGGGGCCAGACCCTGAGCCTGATACGCCCGCCGCACAGCCGTGGCGACCCAGTGCGCCAGCCGCTGAGCCGACAGCGGAGCGCCCCTGTTCTTGGGGCCCAGACACACAAACAGCTGATCAACCAACCTGAATGAAGACGTCATGGCCAGGTAATGCCTAAACATTCTGACAGGACACAGAAGGTGCCGCCGCTCCTCCTCGGGGGAGGCATGCGGCGGCGGATGGAAGGCCCTAATCCTGATCACTCTCGACCTGAAGGCCGAAGTAATGACCTAAGTGAGAAAGGCCGGATTGGGCCCCACGCAAAAAACTTTTCACTGAAGGATGAGAACGGGCCGTGAACCCATCGAAGCCACCGTGACCCAAGGTGATGGCTGCCACGAACACCGCCAGGGTACCGACAGCCCTCCCCTTTTTCAAAGAGTTCCTGTAGAAAGCCCAGGACTCCCTCCAAGGGGCAGCGCCTGGGATCCCAAGAGCGAGCACTGCACCAGACGCTGAAGAGCCTGCATCTGGTGTTGTAGGCTCTCACCGTGGACGGCGCCCTCGCCCCCTGAATAGTCTCCACCACCGCCGGAGGAAGATCCAGGTCAACGAGGTTCCGCCTCTCAACCTCCAAGCCCAGAGCCTGCGGCCGATAACGGGCGTGAGAACAGGGCCCCCCCCTTTGGACTAAAGCCCCCGGCTCGTCCGGGAGGGCCCAAGGTTCCATCACAGACATGCCCCTCAGGAAGGAAAACCCCCGGGCATGCGGACTGTC